TTTAAATATTCTAACTGGCCTTTATTATTCAACATAATTCCTTCCATTACTCCGTCTCAACTAGTGGTGATTTATTCGCTACAAACAAGTCAACATCAAGCCAATCAAGCCAAGAAATATCTTCAGCATCTTGAAATTGTCATCGCCGTCTATCATAATTGATCAATAGGCAATTGAATGCGATTTGATCCCATCTAAAACCCTCATACCCATGTCGTGTTACGTCTAGCCCTGGAAGTACACGTGCTTTGTCATATGTTTATTTATTTCGACCGCCGATGACTATGATGCCTGGGACGAGATACTTTATTGATTGGGTGATAAAACGATGATGAACAAGGTAAAATACAAATGTTACCATAATTTTCCTTGGGAACCACTCCACACCACTATCACATCAAACCCTTGAACACACAGACACCCCAACCTCTCCGCCATCAATTAAAGTCCACACCGCAGGAAAATTGGTTGCATGGAGCATATAAAACCCTGTCATACACCTTTTGACCAATAGCCATTGCAGATTCCTGCTTAAGCGAGCGAAGTCGTAATTCAACGACGGTGAGAAAGACAAACAGTAGCGGAGTACCGCAATTTTATGCTCAAGTCACGAAAGGGACAAATTCTCGCATCGTTCATTCCGGTACCACCGAAGAACGCATTAGATGCCCAGGTGGCCTTGTTGCGCATGACACCATTGACCGCTCAGCCCTACCCGGTCGCCATCTCCCCTCTCATCTTTACAGATGCCAAAAAACCCGAAAGTATAATGTTGTGTTGGCTTTCAACATCATGTACCGTAACAAGGACGAATGGTATTGATTTCTGCAATCATTAGACCTCCAGCACAACGATAAAATGACTATCTTAGGCATTTAAAGGCGTCGAGATCTACTATACGAGTTGGTTTCAAACCGGGTATCTGAAGAATGGGGGCGATCGAGACCGGATTTAGGAGACTGTTACACAATGCTTTGCGGTGAAGACCATTTCGTTCTTTGCCATGAACGATCGACAATGAAGACCATACGGATTATCGGATTTACGACCGAAATGTTCCAGATTTCATGGCAAAATTAATACCCCCCTCATGAGCAATATTCGAGTCTTGGATCCGGATTTATCGACCTGATAAACCCGTTATCAAAATTGACAATTACGAGCCCTACCTGCCGCGTTTTCTCCTTAACACTCTCCTTTCTTAATGCCGAGTGACTCTCACGAGGAGTTTTCACATATGCTTCTATTTCTAATTCCCTCATTGTTCTAGTCTGATTCCATTACCACACTAGTCGTCGGCAGAGTACTTGCTTCTTCGTATTTTGAACCACTGCATTTTAGTACCAAGAGAGTAGACTGAGAGAGCGAGATACCCATACCAGACTACGAATCTAGTGATGACTGTTCCTGGATCAATCAGCGTATCAAAGCTGACGAAAGCTTGCTCGTGCTTGGTACCCAAAAGCCACTTCGGAGAATTAGTCGACTGCCACATACTGTACCTTCAATAGAGGTTCAAGGAGCTTAGCTGAGATTATCGCATAGACACGATTAGAGGTTCACTAGTTTCATCGTAGAGGCTGGGAATTACGCTTCCTGAATCAATAGTACTACTGGGCTTGTCTCTCCAATCTACCATCTCAAGCTTCCAGAAGTGGGATCATTCGTCCGAGATGCATACTCCCAGAGAAAGTCTTGCATTCAATGTTATCAAACCTGATGATTTTGTACCCCAGATATTGTTTGTGGATGATGATCATTCGTTGAGTGTCTTCAAATGTGGGTTTTCGATGACCTCAATCTTGTAAGAGAGCAAAGAGTATTAGTCCACCCCAGCCACGCCGAGATCCAGACTTTTGGCTCCTCTTACAAAGTGGGAAAATGCCATTCTCCCAAGTCTCCACCCCCGTGATAATGGTTCATGGGTATCTTATTCCGTTTCCCGCGTGGGTTCTGGGATATCTTTGCGGATTACATGATACATGCGAAACATCTCATGTCATTCCTTTCATCATCTCATTGTTCTAGAGTAAAGCCAGTACCCGGAGCTCCAACATCCAGTCAACTTCTTTTTCTGAAGTCTTATGTGATATCTTGAACCCACACAATGACTTTGTCACCGCTGAAGATGATTCGAGCACGCTTCCATGCGTGGCATGCTTGATATGATTATGGGTAAGCACAAGCAAGCCAAGCAATACCAAGTCTTATCGAGTATCTTGTCCTCAACCACTGGTCTGTAATCATCTTTTAAGGTGCTGACATGATGCCCCGCTGTGCTTCATTGGAATGGATATGCTGCGGGAATTCCCAGTGACAAAGTGCCGGGATTTAAAAGGGCTGAGCAACTGCTAATTGTGCTGTGGCTTGGCAACTAGATTGCATCGGCTGTGTGTGGTATGGTGAACATTGGTTCCTCTGGTAATTGGGTGTAGATACGTGTAGACACACTGCATGTTACTGACGATTTTGGAAAAGTATGAATTTTAGTTCATAATCTGTATCGTGCTTTTGACATCTATATTGCGGCAGATGAGAATTGTCCAAAGGGCAGGTCGCCGATTTGACTTTTATTCAAGCTTTACTAAACTTGACAGACGGTCTAGGATAGAATCTAACATACACTTTTACGAGACCGTTGAATCAAGTTGAGCCCTTGATCTTGGTCCGAGCAATTGAGACAACTCCACACCATTGAAGGCTGAAGAACCCGGGGGACTCCACCGCATCATTAAATGTGCCTTGGACCTTGCACGCAGACGTCAAAGTTTATGCACAAAATACATCATCTCATATTATATAATTTTATAATATAATCATGAAAATGTACGGGATATGTACACGGGCTTCAGAGATTAGGGTCTTTGACCACTCTAATCCGTTCAATCCGGATCTTTTGCATGGTCACCCCATACCTAAAAGCATCCCAAACCTTGCGGAGTATCAAGAAATTTGAGAAGAAGATCTCGGAGCAATTAGAAATCACCAAATTCTATTGTACAACTGCTGTACGTCAAAATTAACGTGATTGTGCGGTAAGGTGATTGTTAATATGAAGATCCGAAATGCTAATATTGTCATTTGATATTCGCGTAGGCAGGAGTAAGGCACAATGACATGAAGTCGCATTGGGAGCGTCCAATTAAGGCTATTTTAACGTCTAGGATAATCCTTCATTTCACGATTCGGGAATCTTAAGGCTAGTTTGAGACTTTACGTTCGAGCTTTCGTCCGTCAGGATTCTATTCTCTTGCTGGTGCGGCTTGGGTAAATCCGAGTAAAGCAATGCCATTTGTTACTGAGAAAAAGAACGTTCTTGATTACGGAGCTGTTATGTCGTGACTTCAATTTAATTTTCGACTCCTTCGCTTTCCTTTATTTTACTTGTGTTGTTAGCTTTGTTTTCCTATCCTTTCCCTTTCTCCACTAATATAGCCTCACAACGTACACCAAATGTCGTTTAACGTTAAGAATGGGCAGTGGGGATTAGATGCCAAATATGGGGTTATGACGCGCTACCCATTTTCGCATGCTCCGATTAACTTGTGAAGAAATGAAGGGTTTTGATTGGGCTGGGAACGAGGGGTTATAGGCTGATATATTGATATCGATGGTAGATCTAGATTAATGCTGTAGATGACAACGACGACAATGAAGGGGTCATATTAGGTAGTGGATCTAATCGTGTCGCCCTCATTGCTTTGTCATTAAATTATTCATGTGAATCTTTGAAATAGTATCCTGGCTAGAAATGAAGGCTTCAAATCGATGTAGTATAGTCGGCTCATACTATAATCAATATCAAGATTAACATGCCACACTTGTTCCACCGAGTTCGGGAGAAACATCCATGACGAGGGTGCGGAAATAGAAGTCGTAATAGTATGCATACTGACTCACCGCCGTGAATTAGATTATACGTATATTCATTTGTTCTCTGAGCCAGATAGATGCATGGATGGATGGCATCACCAGCATTGTTCAAACCCGATTGATCATGGATGAGAAAGTAACGTTAACAAACATGCCAACCTACGTACATAGATTCAAGCCTTCTGGTCCCTGAGGCTTGTTGCACCCAGTACATTGTTGGTTGCGTATTCCGCATCGTACTATTTGACGGAGCCTCCGCAGCAAAGAAGCACCGACCGATTCCTGGCAGCTAAAGTAATGCTCGCCGCGTAAGGCTGAACAAAATTTGGCATTTGTTTGTGAAGCCACCTTTAGATCCCCTACACAGACACCGAGTAGAATGCCCTGACGAGATTGGTATACTCGTTTGATCATTTGATATCAACCCTCTGTTACCACCCACACATCTACTACCTTTCATGCAATATTTCAAACCCCCATACTTTCAGTTCACCGCCCGTCGATCATGTATCTTCGATTTCACTGTAAAAGCGTCCAGGGCTCTGCTCAAAATGAGGTTTTCACGTCGAAAAATACTAGGTGCACTGCCCACCTTCCTGTTTGAGGCATTTAGCAGACATTAGATCGAATGTTCCATACAGATCAGGACTCAAGCCTAGGGCTGGGTCACAGCCTGCCTGTTGTTTCTTTTTCTCCTGTTATACCCAACAAGTATCTGCCAATCAAAAACTGAATCTCGAGGTATTTACTTGTGGTAGTGTTCTATTCCTGGTTACTAGCGGATTAGTGGAAAGATGATACAATGGAGAAGAAATTTATTATAAATCCCACAAGGCGTAGGTAGAAGAGGACACCCGTGCCACATTTTTGGGGGCTGGTTTTGAAAGCAACAGGGGCCCATTTTCGTTCTGATTGCCCAGATACGTCGTGGTTAAAAAATCATATACTCTATTTGGTTGCATTTCAGCAAGATTTCCGAAATTGAATCCTTGAAAAGATCACAATGGAGAACATCGTATATGGGGCCAATGAAAAGCGATATACTTATTGTAACGAGGAGAAGATCTACTCCTTGAATATGGGTTCTGATTCCTTTCTTCATCGATACTCGAATACTTCCAAACTTGATGTCCAGGAAGTTGTGTCTCCGCAATAGTTTTCGCGGGTCGTCATCGCGATCATTGTCTAACGAACTGCATCCGACTACTAGCGATCACAGTAGGTAAGTGCTTTACTCTACATTTATTTTTAGGCATTTGAACACATACTGATCTTCGATCGATGAAAGTCAAAACCTACTTACAAGCGCTCACCTATGGAGACCCTCTGTGAACGATCCACTGCTACCAGCCGGGGAAGTTAGGCATGGAATTCCACCTACGATAAAATTCGGTAAAACTCCACTTCATAGTCCAAAGTACGTACTATAGGACCCTATGTATTCCGAGATTCATTCATTGTCAGTTCGAGTCTTCATATCATCAGGGGAATATCCGTTGCGGCAGCAGACAATGATAGGAGTCACAGTGGGGAGGGTGGATCATTTGGCTAGTTCCAGGGCTCGAACGGAACTTATTAATCACCGATTCAGAGTCCTTCCTCTGTTTCCACATGATATTGCGATATTAACTCGTGATGGTTTACACATGTAGGTTACATAGCGACTTTATGCGCCGCAATGAAACAGACGAAGGAATTGACAATTTACGGTCGATCCGTCCATATTGTGGATTATGGAACTGACGGATGTATTAGTGTTTATTCCTTTTGAACATGTACGGGAATTTAAGCAACGGAGTTCCCTTTTCCTTGTGCGGAGGGGTCTTGCGGCATGAATGATATCGACGGGACATTGAATGGCCCGTCTTGGTCGCTCGTTCGAAATCAACGATTGAGGAACTGGTTCTCCAATTATTCAATTCTTCTTCACCGAATTTCGCATTTATTCCCCCCCGACAGCCTACTTACGGTATGCTTCAAACTCCGTAGGCTGAATACTGAGGGTATTTCTCCGTCAACTACGAGGGTTCCGACGTACATAACATCTTATCTCCATCGCTAGAAATACCATGTGAAAGACAGGCAAGCCATGTGGTTGCAGAATTTCACTTGGGGCCAGATTCCCAACATCCTTGCCAGAGCCCTGCATAGCATAGATAGATAGCTGGAATGGATGGATAGATGGATAGATAGCTTCAATACGCTCCCAATTCGGTAAGTCGTATTTTGCAAATGAGGCTTTAATAAACGAGGGGAAGGGTCTCTTTTACACACTATGAAGTCAATTAGATTCTGGACCATACACCATAGCAAAACGGCTGCGCATTCGCTACCTGTGAGTCTGTGACCTTTCACGTACATGTGAAATAGAGGGAAGTGGGAAAAGCAGTTAAAATAGGTGTAATGGATACTCTCTCTTTAATGGGTTTTCGTCTGATTTAGACGCACGAAAAACCACATTGGAATGAAGGGACTCAGGGAGCTCAGGTTGTAGCCGAGCTCCCCTCCATTTCTACCTTTATCTCTTTGCGGGTTCCCGATTAAAACTCGGATCCGAAGCACAAGCTCGAGTCAAGACAATTAGAAAATAGTATAAGTTTCCGCGGCAAATCATCCAGATATCCATTGACATCGAGATTCGAGATATCTCCTTTCCTGGATATCTCCACCAATGCCAAGCACCAATGTTTAATCCCTGCAGCATATTTACCCATTTTACCAAGCCTACCAATATCTAAAGCACATCAAATGACATTTCTCTTCACAAACTTGGATTGTCAATTTATTTCCCATGAACAAGCAAGTTAATCTATATCCGAGTGGGAAAAGTTTTATTGAGACAATTCTACCAATGATCAATTCGACCCGATGTTTCGGCAAGCCCAAAATTGCCATGTGGATGTATATATGTAAAAGGCTAGTGGATAATTATTCGTACGAGTGAAACACCTTGTTTGTGAATCATACTAGGCTCCCATCAATCTTCAAACTCGCCAAATGCGCCTTCTAGGTGCCAATCAAATGAGAGAGATAACATCACACATCTAGCTCGCGATCGGTCGGGGCTCGGTTTAATACTATACCTTTTCTCCTTTCCCCGGCTTTAAGGAGCTTTTTCCGTATCCGATTTGAGGCACATACGTATGGCATGTTCATATGCCCCGTTGGTCAAATGATTGAAATCTACCCAGCATTCAGGTAAGTCAAGGCATGGTTTGGATTGGAAGGGCGCAGTGCATACGTGCAGACATTTGGTGTCTTTTAACGAGACACCATTGAAGTAAAGATCTTCATACTGGCGGACCCAAAAGATTTTGACAGACGGCTCCGTGCTTCTCGGCCTGAGTAGTGATTCATCGTGCATGCGAAGTATTGAGTTCCCATAATTTCCATACTTGCTTGCTTGCTCAATTTGCAATCGCGGGCGTGCGGGGTGTCCAGCCTCGAGCCAGCTTAGGTTGCATGTGCATTCCACGGTATAGCAGCTAAGTATTTGGTTGGGATTCGTTCCTTGTCGCATTCCAAATCATTCAACTTCGCAAATGAGGCTCTGCTTCTCTAAGCGGCAAAATGTTTAAGATATTGGTGTGGTGTGGTGTGCTGTGCTGTGATGAGGGTGCGTAATTCACACGTAGCCTGCCATGGCATTCGCCGTACTTGGTATAGTTATAGGTGTGTAGTAAATGATTTATCTTACATGTATTTAACGTCTGAGGCTCAATTGATATGTTGATGCAGAGATCTTCGTTACTCCCTGAATTATGCATTTCTTTTTGACGCGTCAACCTTCGATTAATGATCGCAGACCACCAACTGTTATCAGGATCTATAGATGTCAAATCTACAGATTCCAACTGTTGTCTTTTACATGAGTATTAGTACATGCGGATAGATTATTCTGCATATCCGGCATCGACCATGAAAGTCCCGAATTAAGCTGACTGTGTTTGAACTGCCGATATGTCACAATTTTGACAGTTTGATAAAGGTACCGGTGCAAGTAAAGTGGGATCTCGGAACCGATTTCGGGCTAACTCGGTGTACTCTTCTAGAGATTTGGTCCGTATCTTTAAAAGCAACTGCTTTGTTCGGTGCCGATTCCATAATGTAGACAATTTCTGGCTACAACATACGAAGGCACTGGCCCCCATGGGAAATTACAGGATCTGTAAACTCGAGTCAGCAACTTTCATCCTTCACTTTTGGCTTATTTTGGTTGGATATTGAGCCAGGTCAGAGGCACAGCAATATAGCTAGACAGGGAATCAAAATAGGAGGAACGATGTCCTGAGTTGAGAATAGAAAACGAGCTAAAAATCATAGGATAGGAAGGTATCATCGACCACGGATTTGGCGTCTGGAAGATTCTTTTTCCCCTCTGCGGATCAAGAGGCTCCTTTGAAAACTAGCTTTAACGGATATTAAATATCTGCGGTGTGCTTTTTTGTCATAAGGCTCAGTCAGTCCCTTTAATGGTTATATCATTGCCTGAAATGGTAGAGAAGATAAGAGTGATGAAGATCTGGACAACGAAGTGTTTCTCCTTTCGGAATGGTATGCTGAGCACAAAAGATAAGGAAAATAGTTCTTCTGCGCTTCCAGTTCCTGCTTGTACAGTGGAGAAATAAAAAAGTTGTCTCTTGAGATTGATATGGATCATGTACGAAACTAGAACCCGCTAGACAGCAGAATTGCTCTTCTTTTCCTCATTGATGCAATGCCCCTCCGCCTAGCATTAGCCGATGTTGTTCTCCGCTTCTTTCATTTTCAAAGGCTTTCAGTTCCCCCTTTCCTGATGTTGCAACAGTAATGAGACGACTTGTGACTTGCAAACAATCATGTGCACCAAATGGTCGAAGTTGTTTCCTGAAGTGAGATAGACATTCGTTGTTTTGTGTTTAATGTAATGCAGAGGGCCTTTCAACACTCTTCTCTCTTGTCTTGACTCTTTTGTAATGAGAAGGCGAACAGTCTTGGCTCTAGAGTATTGGCAATATATCCAGTTAGCATCTTCACTCTGCATCGATGTTCTGGAAATCTTAAGTGAAAGTCTAGAAACAATGGACAGAGTCTCTACCTCTATCGAACCCCAAGTTGCTCATACTGATCAACAATGCCATGTTATGGGCTCTAGCCAGACACTTGACTGCTCACACGGAAAATAGGATGAAGAACTTCTCATCTCAGGTGTCAACACCTCTGTCGCTTTACCAATGTCTCTAGGACAAACCTGTCCCTCCAGAAATAGAAAATAAAATTCAGAGTCAATCATGTTCTGTATCGTGAATCTTCCTTACCTGATATAGATCAGCCCTCCTCGTGCATGAATTGATGATACTAGATCTGGATTGAGACTCTAAAAGTAGTATCTTAAAGTAGGTACATTTCAATGAGAAGAGCAAAGTAACCTGTTTTCTCAGTGAACGTGAATAAGTGAACTCCATAGTGGGCTACTTCTGCTGTTTCTACCACATCTTGACTATTTGGGAGATACTCATCATTTCTTGTTTAACTAGGTAGCCTTCGCAGAATTGACATTGCTATGTTACCAAAGCCAGGCACATTCCTTTAGGACGATCAAGGCAAATTTTGGTGTTTACAGGATTCATAATATAACAACGCAGATCATGAATAGGTAATGGTACCTTACCCTTGAAGTGCTCTTTGATCATCAGCCCAAATCATCTACAGCGTTCATGGGATCACTTCACTTCACTTCACTTCACTTTAATCAAATTCAGCGTTATACGCATAGCGATGTGAGATGTTGGTGGTAAGAAATCTTTCCTTGTTCTTATTCAGAACTAGCCCTCTGATTTATCCTTATTCCGACGCCTATTGAGAACAATCAATGCCTTATTTGAGTATAATGCCTGATCAGTGTTCCTCCTTGTGCCTAGGCCATCACCTTGACAACATCTAACCATGACCATATATCCTATACCAGATCTCCTATTTCTTGTTCACAACATTTCCAGAGCCAGTGCAGTCCCCATCAACCTGTCGAGAAAAACAGACCCCAATATACTTGTCGACAATTCCCAATTCTGCTCCAAATAAGTCGGTATATTGTATCTGCTTTTCGTTCTTCAAGTCTTCGATATGTTCCTTTTGTTCAGCAATCAATACTTGAAAGTTCAACTCGTTCTTTGTGTTTTTTCTTCTCTGATCTGCTCCATGTTAGTAAGACGTTTTTGAACAGAGTGACGAAGAATTCTTACCCAAATCTCGCAATTCCTCCAACACGGGGAGTGCCTGGTAGAGGTGAAAATACTTGTTGGTGATTTTCTGTGTGGTTTCAGCAGAGCTGTTTTCATCGGTATCGCTGACAGGGAGAGGCTTGTAGAATTCTTTGAAGACTCTGAGTTTCTTTGCACGTCTCATCTCGATAGTTTCGATTGCATTCTGGCAGATCACAACTATGTCAGCTGCATCGCTGTCATTTAAGCCTTCGAACATGGCCTCGATTTCCTGCTTGGCTTTATTGATTCTTACTTGCCGATCCATGATTTCCGTAGCGAATATACGAGATAGGAACGAATGGTAAACTTCATGCAATTTACTGTTTTTTGTCAACGGTGATAACTTTTACCAAGTGATGCAGATGATAGCTTACCGCTTTTGTGAACTTCGGTTCGATTCCTGTTTTATGATTTGTATGAAAGAAGACTGAGGTCGCAATCTATTCCTTCTCCAATCTCGCAAAGTGTTTGAATGTGGAGAATTATTTTGTTGAAATCTGGCAACTTGTAAATATTGATGGACACGGATGCTTTTTACGGAGAAAGGGATCGATGTTAAGATGTTGATATGCTAAAAACAAGAGACTGGTTACTTTACGAAGCTGCTAACGACAGAATATTGGTAATGTGATTTCTTGCAAGTTTCTATAGCTATATTTCACTACCAACTTCTGTAATTCAACCGTATTTCATGGTGAAGGAAAACTGCCAATAAAAAATTCACCAAAGCTCTGAGAGCATGAGAATTCCCCCAGTAGTTGAGATTACACTTTTCCAAGTTAGCTATGCTTCCAATGCATATTTACATAATGCCTATTGCCTGTCATAATTCCTAATTCATTGTTCAATCTCATCCATCCAATGAATAGCCCACTTCACCACTCTCTTCAGCCATACCCAATAATCTCTTCCTCATTCCTTCCGCTCTCTTTTTCTCTTCTTCGTTCAGTACAGTAAGATCAATATCACTAACCCACTGGAATTCATCAACAATGTCAGCGTTATCGCTTAGTAGCTATTCACTCCAAAGGGTAGAATATTTTCAACTCACCTCCCTCAATCCATGCTGCAGTACGTTCCTGGCTCTCACTCCCTTGCCATTCCGATGACCTACGCTCCCGTGTAGTGTTGCCCTTTCCTTACCACTTTCATACTTTCCTCTATGCAAGATATTGTTGTCATAAAACACAACATCACCCGCTTTCATCTCTACCCTGATCTCGCCCTGTACTCCCGTCTCATATTCACCCATCTCTCTCTCTGCAGCTGTCCTCGCCCTCTTATGAGACTTGGGAACCACAATCAAAGAAGAATCATCATACAATGCCATATTCCATTGCGCATGCCATGCAGGCTCTGCTAGTCTTGCAAGTTCCTCTTCAGCCGTAGCAGAAGATGGGATGTCATCTCGGTGCCAACGAAGCTCGAAGTCGCGATCAGGACGAATCAACAAATTAAATAGTTCCATGACCAAATCTTCGTCCTCACATTGCAGAAGCTCTTTCACTACACCCAACATCTTGTCCGAGAAGTAGATCTTGATAAACGAAGATGAAGTTGCAAGTTTGGGATTCATGAGTGATTGAACACCCCAAATACCATCTTTTGCAGGTGACTCCCCTTCTCCTATGTTCCAAGGTGGAAATTGCTTGGGAAGCGTTCGAACATATGGCCACGAGCCAGACCGAGCAAGGTCGACAGTGTTTTTCGCTTCGATACGGAGAGAATCAATCTCTGCTTGACTCAGAAGAGAGGGGATGAGCACGAAGCCATCTTGTTCGAGAGATTCAAGGAGTTTTGACTTTTGTTCCGGCATTTTGCTTGATATTATTGTTCAGAAAGAGGTACGTAAGTTCAGGGACAAGCAAAGTGTTATATGATCAAGTGCCATGTTTTAAGTGATGAATATGCCATATCAGGTGATGATACTGAAAGTTGGGATATGACGGGATAATATCGGAGTTGAACATCCGTCGGTCTAACATTTTGATGCGGGGCTGTTCCTGGCGGGGTATCGTGTTGTAACGTAGCAGAAGTACGAATACAAGTTGCTAATTTTGCGCATGCACATTCTCGTATTTCTCGAGCTGAAAAGAAGCCGAATGTGTTATTTTATGATTGATAAATGCAGAGAAAATAATCGTGCAATCAGAAAAGATAAGAGAAGCTATTTTGGCAGCTTACTTGCATAAGATATTATAGCTATATATGTATCAAGTGTTGTTTTCCCCAATACGGGTCATATGGACATGCTCTTAGTAAACTAGAATACATCAATGATCTTAGGGGATAAAACTTTCCCCAAGCAGTGCCAATGCCTTTATTGCCCGATAACATCAATTCCACTAGGCAATCCAAAGACTTGCCCGTTGGCTTCAAATTGACATTTCGCCGTCACAACGTCTCCACTAGCTTCAGCCAAACACGACCCAGTACTGAGGCTTACAAGATTCCCAGTAACATAGTACTCCCATCTCTGATTCTTTTTGCCAGAACATGCCATCAGTGATACCTTTCCTACTCCAAGATCCGTTAGACACTTAGAAGTATCGAAAATTCCCTTGATAGTACCATCCTCGTCAGTTTGCCATACTTGCTCGTCCGATCCGAGAGAGGCTGCCCACGCTAGGCCTTGACGAGAAGAGGTAAGAACATTCAGCGATGCTGTATTGAAGATCATACCAGTCGGTGTAACGTTCAGATTTCCATATCCAGCAGAAATACGATATACCGCAGTACCGTGCGAAGGAACATTGACAGCCGTGACTACCTTGGATGAGGATGAGACTTTTCCGGTCCAGAGGTCTTTAACCTTGACTGCTGATGCAGAGATACCAATTCTTTGGAATGATACCTTGTAGCTAGCCGTGGAATTGCCTCGATTGATAACAGTGAGAAGTCGGTCCCCATTTGCTAGATCTTTAGTCAAAACATCCCATGTACCATCTTGGCTGACAAGTGTAGCCTGTAATGCCAATGGATCTTGGTTTACAGTAATAAGATCTTTATTCGTGAGATAAGCCACCTCATCTGCGCTGAATGCCGGAATATAAGCACTGATAATAAGAGGAGCTGATAGTGAGGCCCAAATAGCGAAATGTGACCTCTTTTCGTTGAGCGATAGATCGAAGTGATCAACAATCAAGAAATCTGGATCGTTAAAGTACCCAGGCTTCTGGTATCTCGCCAATCTTACTTCCTGTCCATAGTTGAATAAGATAGAGTCCCATCCAGTGATGTCGGGCCAGTATGAAGTTGAGTTCCAGACGAGTGTATCACGCGAGTGACGAGCAAGCTGCCCGTATTTTGGGACCCAGTCCATCACAGTATACCAATCAGTTAGATTGTCCTGCGCTGCAAAGTATGCCGGAGCAGACTCTGAAAAGATGAGAGGGCTCTTCAATGCACTTAAGACGCCATGCCAATGTCCGTAAACACGCTCATACTCTTGCTCGGTTGCTGAAGGCATGTTGCAGCCGTCAACCTTGAGGTAATCAAAACCCCATGAGGCAAAAGCTCGAGCATCAATTTCCTCATACCCATACGAACCTGGAAATCCACCACAAGAATTGATTCCAGCATCGGTGTAGATTCCAGAATTGAACCCCAGGCTTTTCAAATAGCCGGTCAACCATGGAAGGCCGCGTGGAAACTTCTCGGTGTTCCATAAGAGACTACCGTTTGTTTCCCGACTGCCTTGACTCCAACAGTCATCTAGATTAAGTCGATTGTAACCTGCTGCAAGTAGGCCTTTCTCTACCATTGCCTGGGCTGTCTCAACGAATAGCGATTCGTTAAGCCCACACATAAATGCTGACCAATTATTGAAGCCTTAAGCCAGTTAGCTATTACCGTAAGAAATGCTGCATTAGGAATTTGCATACCCATTGGAGGAGTAGGCTGAAGTACTGAAGCAATGACAGAGACATCATATAACGCCACTCCAGCGAGGAGTAGGTGTTTCAAAGTTGAGGTAAACATTGACATTGCCTAAGATCGAGAATGCTCAATTTCGAAATAAAAATGGCTTTGAGTATTTGTGGCCGAGCTTTCTTTCAGGTTATGTTGTTCAAATAGATATAGTCAGGTATTGATCGACATCTTGTATGCCTATTTCGAAAGGTCGGGAGCTCACGATAAGAATACAACATGCAAACAACAACGGATTGAGCGAATCAGCAAGTGGTTTTACGGGACTCGTTGTAGCACTGCAGGTCCGAGAGATTATCCGGAATCTTCAGCTTCCCCGCAATTGTATGTTTAAAACTTTTTTTAGGTCCCAATGTGAACAACGATGCGCACATGAGTGGGATGATGGTTTATGTGGGCATAAATAGACAATTGGAACGTTGCTCTGCACCTGCAGTAAGATAAAATTCAAGTATCTATGTCAACCATTCTTTGGTGTGATCAAAAACTGATCCTAGTATGTAGCAAGAGAATTCATGCCTCCCAACTATTGTCAAAATGCAGGAACAAACCAAAATTATCAAAATGCCGCAAGCATGGGACAATCAATCTTTTTGGTTGCAATATTTCGCACCTGTGAGTTGCACATTTGATTGAGTGAAATTATCGACTCTCAAAATCATTCAAGTCACCATCGAAGAGAACTGCGTGTGAGTATCTGGCTATTCCTATGGACAGGAGAAGTCAAAACTTTTATACTTCGTGAATTCCAGTGGCGAAGTTGAGTTGAATCACAAGAAATCTTGTGTCTGATTGAGCCGATTGCACCAATCTACCTTGAGTATTAGTGCATCTCCACTCAGAACAAGAAAACAGAAGAGCATCGACTAAGTAACTCAAACTGTATGCAGATGAAAAGGTGATACTCCCTTGATAGATGTGATACATCGATGACCATCTTTCCTTCAGTCCAGAGAAGCATTATCTCAATAGTTTAGTGATGAGTATTACGAATAGGACCATCCATTATGCCGTTCAAAGTTGTTCTTTTCATAGACAGTTTTTGTTCACGCTTGAAGGCTTCCAGTTCATAGCAGAGATCATTGAAAGTGTAGAGCTTGGAATGGAATATGAAATGATTACCGGGTAATCAGTAGTAGCTTTGAGGAAGGTAGCGAATACCCAGATGGTGAGCCGTGGGAAACTTCCTATCCCAATGACAGTCACGAAGACACATGTAACTTAACTTGTTGTTGTCGGGGTGATCAGCACAACACAGAAATATGCCCCTTGGTGTAGTAAGTTCGAAAATCTGATCAGAGCGTAGGAGCTGTTGCAAATTTCGAAAACATAAAGATGACGGCAAGTACAGAACATTAGAATTAAGATACCAAAATCTAGACAACAAATGAGAGTGGCGTCAATAAAAGGATCTTGCTTGAAGGACAGAGGTGGATGACAGCTTTACACGAACGGCCACTAAAATTTAGCCAGTTTGGTGCAGCAAAAATGAGAAAACAACGGTTGCTTGTCAGGAAAGAGGGAGGAGCAAAGGAAAAAATTGAGGAATGAAAATTTGAACGAAAATAGGTTGAAAATCGGCAAGGGTATTAAGAAATCTCAGCGGTTGAGTATTTCCAGCAGATCAGCTTTCCTGGGCTGTAAACGCGATACTTGGTGCATCGTACCCTAAACTAAGACGAAAGTCATCACGCCATGCCAAGATCTGGATATAACTAGTCTGGTATCCCAAGTAGTCTGATGGTTAGTAGCAACCAATATTTTTATGTCAGAATATTACCTAGCTGATCCTGTTGACAGAGAAGCAGCCTCATAAGGAGCTCTTTCGCCGTGCTGTGACGCTGTCATAACACCAAAACGGTTTTGACTGCCAAAAATGCTCAAAAATGCCAAAAATAAGCCATATTTGCTGGGGTGATAGAGTCTCGCAACAAATAATTGCTGCAGAGGTAATGGCAGACTCGGGGTGTAACGTCGTGGAATTTTCTAACATGGTAGTCTCGGAGAATTCAATCTTGCAATCTTTGCCTACTGTAACAATATTGCGACAACAATGAGACGTCGCAATTGTGATTCCCCGAGCAGAAAATATGAAGGAACTCATTTCTGAGCCCGGAATCGAGATGAGCGTCGCGGGGAACAAATTTGTCTCCGGGACGGGGACAGAAAAGGAAGCAATAATTCAGGTCGTAAGAATTTCTGCATTAGAATCTTGGCCGACATTTAGATGAAAGAAGGAATCACTAGCAGACGAGTCGGAAGGAACAATACAATATCTTCCCGTCGAGGCCGAAGAGGAATGGGGGAAATGTAGGGGTATAGGGCTATGGATTTTCAACCACTGCAAGCGAAGGGCTAAGGAAACTTCTTTTTCCCCTTTAACCTCAATTTTATCCAGCCACTACATCCATCTCATTTCCTCAACATTGCACACTCCTACCTAAGATATTGACCATGTTAAGCTTCCCACCTCTGTTCGCTCAGTCCAGCCGCGTAATCGAAGCCAATTCATACACATTTGGAAGGTATCATAATAGGCTTGCATATATATTGCAATGAAGAAATTCAGCCTGAGAAATTCAGTAATGTATACCATGTACATGCGAGCTAGCTCTTCAATGGTACAATTGCCAAGTATTGTATTTTTCGACTGTATGGCCAGATGGGGAAAGCGAATTTTGGTGAAGGAGAAGTCTCCTCTCGTAACGTTTCTATATTTCTCTGCTATGATGCACGTTCTATAGTTTGCAACTTTGGTGTTACTGGTTTTCGTTCGTTTTCGCTCATTTGGTTTCGAGAAATCCGTGTAACGGATACATCACCGTCGTCATCATGGTTCTGCCAGCTTTCGTATTTCTTCCACTTTATATGTACCCATACAACTCGACTTCATGGAGTACACTTACCACCTCAGTCGTCGCCAATCCAGAACTCAAGTTTCATGTAATTGTTGCCCCCAATTTAGCGTTTACGGACCCAGATATCAACTATGTTGCAAGCGTTACAAATCTAAGTAGCTATGCAAATGTCCTGACTCTTGGCTATGTCTATACCTCTTACGGAAACCGAGATGTTTTGGAAATCGAAGCAGAAATCGATAAATATGTCGCATGGAACTTACCAACCGAGCTTCCAATAGGCGGGATTTTCTTCGATGAGACGCCATCGAACAACTCAACATTCCCGTATATGAGTACACTTACCACATACGCGAAAACATCATTAGGAGCTGGCAAAGATTACATATATCTTAATCCCGGTGTTGCGGTCGATGCATCCTTCTATACACTGGCTGATAGCATCAACATATTCGAAGAGTCTCATGCGAACTTCAACAAAACTTCATTGAGTAGTTTGGATAATTCCTTACTAGCTAAGTCAACATATGCAATTCATGATTTCACCGGAACTATAACGGAACAAACTGCTCTCGTGAATCAGCTTGCGTCTGCGAACCTAGCAGGGATGCTCATAACTACACAACCTGGGTACACGGAGTGGTCAAGCTTATGGTCTTCGTTCTCCTCCGAAGTAAACACTTTGAATCTTGGTAATGGGACCGGAGGTGGTGGCGGTGGTGGCGGAGGGGGCAATGGAGGTGGTGGCAATGGGGGCCATGGCGGAGGAGGGGGAGGGGTGAACAATGGGGGACATGGGGGGCACGGAGGTGGAGGAAACAACGGTGGACATGGAGGGGACGGAGGCTATGGTGGCGATGACGAGTGCGATGATGGTGATGATGATGATGACGACGACGACGATGATGAAGACGATGGAGACGACGACGACGATGAAAATGAAGATGATGATGAATATTGAAGAATTGTGCAACTTATATTATCAAATGAACCGCTGACTCTTGATAATACTTGCAGACAGTCATTACAGAATACTTTGCGTCTTCAAGCACTTCTACGTACATACATTCTATCTATTCAGATATCTAATTAATCTTATCAACATTTAAGAAACACACTAAATTGCCCTCAAATAACATAAAACGGTAGTTTTACTCATTCAGTTCAAAAATATTATGTCATTGTAAATCAAGTGTACAGATGAGTAGCAATTACCTGGGTCCGAAAGTCCTGTCTCTCCCCATAAACGATGTTACACTACTCCAAAACTGTGACATCCATATCAGTCCCTTAAGATAGGAGAAGTGGAAGTATATTCTAAATCTCCATCACTACTGATTTCATTTTTCACAGTCAAAGTTAGCGGATGGCATCAATTTGTGAATTGAACGCCCAAACAATGTAGGAAGTGAAACAGATATTCATCTCACCTCAATATCCGCGAGCATATACAACACAACTAGATCCAGCCTTGCCTCGCAATTTTTCTGCAGTTTCCCTTTCGTATTCCTCTTTTGATCTTGGCTTCTTACTTCCCCATGAAAAACCGTCTTGAATATCCATCTGATACCACCGGCCCGATATTTAACCTCCTATAGTCATATAACATCCTTAGCCTCTGAAAATTCTCTGTTTCTGATTCGAATATGCAGGGAGTTATTTCGTGGATTCGATGAAGATGATTATGATAATTATCTGGTGCAGAAAGAGATGTTCGCAAAAATAATGACCTTGCATCGTGTAGAAGTCAAAAAAGAGTTGTTTAGGACCGAACAATAAGTAAGCTAATGAATGAATTAAAATCCCCAGTACACTGGAAAGGAAATAACTTCATTGTTCATCAATATTTCTTTGAGTGATGAAATTTAAATAGATAAGAAAGTAAATTGCTCAACAACTTCAAGTGTATGCCTGTCTAAGCCAACTCAATCTCCTTGTTCCTCTTGCTACTCCTTATCTCTCAATTTGTTCATTGAACTGGAGGACTGCTAGTACAGACAATTCTATATCGCTGCTCCTGGGAAAGGAGATCTGCATGTGGAGCTGCTGGGTTGGAACATCAGTAACAGCTCCTTTCAAGCGATAGTTGTCTTGGATGCACGAGTAAGTTGACTTCTTTCAATTCTCAGACCTGTTGTAGAAGGCTCTTCTGACACTTGTAGATTCGATTGTATATAAGTTGAAGTTTTTTTTCCCGCTTGGAGGGAGAGGTCGAATAAGTCGAGCACTTCGGCTGAATGCCCCTTTGTATGAACTAAATAATCCGAAGTAGAAAGTGTATTTGGAGCTGAGGATTCACGAAATACGAGTGTTTGTCTTGAAAGTTTGATCGATTCGTTGTGTATATTGAAGTCCCTTTCTAGACTGTGTACAGCAAATCTTGCAGACTAAGTTGGGATGTGTCTTCCTGTATCCGGTTCAGCTGTGTCATGATGATACCCTTTTAGGATTTATTACATACCTGTTTGTGTAGAATAGTTCAAACTGTTCGCCTTGCACCTGTAAATTGAGTTCATTGACTGTATCTGCTGGTCTGCCTTTGATAAAACTATTTCTGAGTAGTTCTGCGAAGTCATGGGTACACGCCAGTACTCTTTTATCCTTTCCTCGCGAGTCCTAGGCTCCTCGGAGTAGCTTGAGCTTTCTCCAATGTCAGGGTCGTTTTTTAGAAGAGTTCCATTTCTTTCTTAGTTATTAGCACCGCAAAGTCCGCTGGTTTTTTGGATGCCATGTTGCGAACCGAAAATTCGCAAGGGCTTGAACATGATATTGTTGATATGTGGATGGGTATATATAATTTCTGGGTATTGCACGCTGCTTGCAGCACTGACACAACTTTGGAAGCTGTATTCTCTGTTGCATGCGATCTCTCAGCATCAACAAATATGAGGGCTGAGATTGGGTAAGTGAAAAACAGACGTATTTTGAAATAATGCCAACTTTGGATGCTTTGTCATTGAAACGGGAAGAAAGATTTGACAGTTTGCATAAAATGGTGGGTAATATATTGTAGTCAGTTAAATTTTCTGGTTCCACACATGTTAATAAGTATCATTCACCATGGAGAATAGAGTAACAAATGAAACCCGAAGTTGACCCCTTTCACAGACACGTTCCGCTAAAGAATGGCCATGAATGAATTCAGACGTAGATCTATGAAGGTAAAATTATTATGAAGCAGAACATTATGGAACCCTCGCATATGCATCATGTGAGCTGATATTACAAAATGCCAACAACAAAGCTAGCTAGTCTTGGTCTACTTTCCTACTTGCAAGTCCTGGAAGATCAAATAGAACAAAAGTTGGAAGAGAGAAGGGAATCTCTATTAGCATAACTGCTCTAAGAAATCTTTCGGAGATAACAAGGAACGTATTGAAGTTTGTGCTTAGATGGATAGCTTTGGAGAGCTACACTGCACGGAATGGAGATTAATAGGATTTTCCCCTTTCTCATATATATTCAAAGATTTATTTCCAATCACAGAGCTTGGGAAACTGTTTCTGAACATCTACAAGGTGTTAAATACAGGTCGAGACTCGGTAGTCGTAGTACGTAGGTAACAAAATGAAGTCACTAACTCCTTCATCTTTCTGTCTTGGGAATGCTTGGAAACTTCACTTAAGGTGATATAAATATGTGCTAATTATCCAGATTGGTGGGCTTCGATCGGCTGTAATAAAATAGGCGAGGCTTCTAACAAGAAAGTGACGCTCACGATGTCTCCAATGCCCTATGACTGCGCTCCGCTATATAAATGTAAGCCTGCGACTCGTATTATCAGTATCTTAAATGTGAGAAAAGATGCTGAGCAGGACAATCGTAATCATAATAAGCCAGAGTGAGGTTTCAGTCTTCTCTCTAAGAATTTTGTATGCTCTTGAATACTGTGGTTAAAACTTGCAGCATTTGAATGTAAATCTACATTATGAGCTTAGAAGTAAATCAGAAGCTTGATACCTTGTAGATTGCCAAGGGAAAATGCATCATTGATGAACTTAAATGATTTTTGTCAATACAGAACGAAGACATCATGATCCCAACTTGCAACGAAGAACCTTTCCATAAACTCTATCCAGACCCCATTATGTTTTGATAGGGCTTTGGGTATTCGGGATAGATATGCGTTTCGGGTGTTGTCTCTGCAACGACTATTTCCAACGAAGGCGAAATCCCTCCCATTACTTGTATAGAAAATAGCCGCGCACTTTCATTTTCCTTCTGTGGCATACTTTCTCCAGCTTTTCCACTTCAACAATTCAAAAAATTGACTTTGCAAACACTCTCCTCCAACAGTACCTCGAACTTTCGATATGCCATTTACTCCAAGGTTACATACGAATCAACGCACAATTACTAATTTGCCTACAATTCAAACTTCCAAGCCGACTTGCCTAGAACGCAGATACGGTATTATTTGGGAACAATGTCACAATGGAACTCAATATCTTCAGAAACATGGTAGGAAGATCATTTAGGTCTCGGTGCAACTTGAATGCTATCATAGATCTGCGAAGTGGCTATGAGGTTTTCCGGACACTCTATAATCTTTCAGCAATACCTTTATCAGCGTCAGCTTTACCCGAAGCTTCTATCAACTATTGGCCACTTACGAGGCCTTCCTCTCCTATGTCCCGATTCTCGCATTAGACAAACCTACTCTCACTAGCCGCACACTGCCTATGGATTCATCATGCAGCTAGACCAGCGCAGAGTGGGTTACGTAGGCTTAGAGCATGGCACTGCCCTCCCTTGGACTATTGGTGTCAAATCTATTCCGGTTGAGATTATACAGGGTGAAAAGGAGAAGTAATATGGGAAGCAGCTCTTTCTTTACATAAAATTCACAACTAGGGTAGCAAGGACTCGAGGATTACGAAAAATTGGCAAGTTCGGTAGGCTCTTTCGGAAGTAGGGTGGAAACACGATGCGATCATACCATGCTAACGAGTCAGGGGTACAATATATTAAGAGACTAACTGTGTATACTATTGAGTAGCTGCTTTCTAATACCTTTCAACTTCAACGAAGCAAGTATTGTATAAGATTCGGGAGCTAAGAGACGGCTGTTACTGGTAGGATCAATGCAGAAGAAGATATCAAGCTAGAAGTAAACATGTTGGTTAGAGATCAACGCCCTCTTGAGGGGTAAAGGCTCTAGCAGCTTTACAAGCAAGGTTAGAAGCAGCGAATATACTAGGTCAATTCTTACATTCGAATCCGTCCGGTCGCCTAAAGCCTGCCGGCATGTCACAACGTTGAAACTATCCATTGAACCACCAGCACGTTCTTAACCGACGGAACACCCTCAAACTCCTCTGTGCTTAGAAAGTGCGCAAGGGTATGCGTATCGGTCGTCTATAGTCACAGTCCCAACTAATTGCTTTAATGGGGGTAGTTTGGTGTGAATATGGCAATTTCAGCGTGCTCACACAGATTGGCACTTCTATCAACGGCTGTGCGATGATCGATCAGTCGGAGATTCTCTGCGAAACACGGGAACAGATGTATCAGAGTTAGTTATGTGAGTACCCCCTTCATCCATGTCGACAAATAATACCTATTATGGCTGATAAATTGATAGCGGTGAAGTGATCGACTCTACCGAGTCCTGAAGGAGCTTCGAACCCTACCTCCCACACCCGTTCAACTCTTGATACAGACCTTTTACAATGCTGCGAGTATAAAAGAGATCTTCAACTCCCTAGTTCCAATACTGCTAGCTATTATTAGCACCGAAATTCAATAACAGAAGGCGTCGAGGCCTTACAACTTTGCGATTGACAACGAATGGAGGGGGGGGGAAGGGTAGTGCGGCGATAGAACATAAGTTTCTTTGCAGCTCATGAGTGGCTTAATTGGAAAATTAAATGAAGAGGTTAGAATTCTTATAGGTTATGTGCCCACGATTCTCATTGAGTTTACTTCAGCAGCCCGGTATTGCGTTCCCCGTCCCATAGTACCGGAACTATTGGCAGCAACGACACTTCAGCGTTTATAGCTCAACTATATCGGGAGATCTACAAAAACTAAACGGCTACTTAGTTTGAATTACACTATCTATTATGATCAAGGCATTACATCATTGAACCCTTGATCCTATCACATTATTGAAGTGACATACGCGCGTCTAATCTGTCTTGAATGTAAATATGAGCCAAGGTTGGGTATATTTTAATGACAACTACACTCAACCATGCCCAGTCAAGCTTCTATTCTTATTGAGCGGTGATATCTAGTAAGTGGAGACATAATACAGTGTATGGAGATGGTTAATCTGCATTAGTATCCGCCATGTTCTGATGTTATCGCCGGTAGTCCGCCCGGTTTTCATGAATCTTCTAACACCTCTCAAGTAGAATGGAATAGGGATCTTGTGAGTATTACAAGTGGTGAATTCATATTATTGTTCGCCATCTCCAGACAATATCATTCGCACTCGGCTCACTATTGACGGCTCATCTAACCCCCCCCCAAGCCGCTTTAGGTAGTAATCTTAGCAGTATCGTGCGAATCGTACGATTCGAAACGTCAACAGAAGCTGGGATGAACTAGTCAATGACTTTAAATGAATACTATGAGCTGTGAATGACCAAGCACCGCCCCATATGCGCGAAATTTTACTGTAGTCCTTGCACTTAGCTTGATATAAAGGCAATTTCACGGCTCGCATCTGACCACTTCTTCCTTCCATACCCTTCCATCTACAAATTTCCTCCTCGTTCTCCAATCAAAAAGCGTCTTGGTCCCGCGTTAACTAAACAAAAGTTTTCGCCAACTTCCACATAACAAGGCTGCAGTACGCTACAGCAACAGAATATTCCTCGGAGACAGGACGGTACCACTTTTTTTCAACGGCTTTACCCGCCTAGTCACCCGTACTGACAGGATTTCACATCGAAAAGATACAACAAGGTATTGGAATATCCCGCGCTTGAAGCTAAGCCGCTTTTGTTCTCCTGTCTTCTTCAAAAGGGACGAAGACTTTTCTCCAAAGCCCTCCTACTCTTATCCAACACAACCTCAACCTCTCTTCTCCCTTCTTCCATTCAACATAACTTCATCTTTCTTCTACCTATACTAAGCTCAATACAAAAGACTCATAACAACTCAGCGATCAAGCACTCTTCTATTTTGAAGTTGTGGTTAGCAGGAAGTTGCGATATCCTTTGAACTTGCGTGGAGTTACAAGCAGATCTTTTTTCTCGAACTGAGCACCCTGCAGCTTGCATCGACCTTCTAAAGAACAAAGATTTCTTTCAGGGATCGAGATCGTTCCTAGAAAGCTTAGTCCTACATCCGACAATACCATCGCGTTACTGCTAGGAGAATTAGTTCCTTGTAAGTATTACAATCCTCCTTTCTCCTCGAGTCACCTTGGTCAACAGTAGTGGTCCCATCGCTGCCCATTCAACCCCAAGCTTACCGACTACCTCTTCTTACTAATAGAAAGCTAACAATCCATAAGGTGGTTCAGATCTAGAAGATAGCAAGTTGTTGCTCTGTCAGCAGAGTCGAATTTCTTGTAAGTATTCATCCTCACCACGTTTACAGCACACCCTTTTAGTCCATAGAACTTCACTCTTCATTCCTTCTCTTCTTCCATCTCTTCAATTACCTTTCAATACCAATTGTCTAATCACCGAAGGCGCCGTCTAGAACTCAAGTATTGCACGGTTCTTGCTCTGCCATCAACGTCAGATCACTTGTAAGTAGCAGCCTCAACTTTCCATCATAGCACGGCTTTGGAACATGGCACAACCAGTCTTCTCCTGTTCATTCCATTTGAATCAAGATCGGTCTGTTCTTATTACCAATCTAATACCTCAAGCAGCTTTGTAGAACCAAGGGATCATACTCGCGTCACTCTGCCATCAAATCTAAGTTTGAAGTAAGTAAGCAACCCTTCCACTGCATCACATAATTCGCAGTTAGCACCAAACTATAACCTCATATCTTTCCTTGACTCTTCCTCATCTTCGTTACCACCACATTTTACTTGAAGTAAGAAACTAACACACCATTTGTTGCCAGATTCCCCACCTTATTGACTACCTACCATCGATTAGACACTACTCAAAAATTTAACACCCTCATCAACTTGATAGTTGTCGTCGGCTATCCTGTACTATTCGCTGGTAGACTAGCGGCGATATACTTCTGCAGTTATCCTCTGCATACTACTATCTCAAATTAGGCACCATATTATCCATCGAAGGTTGATACCTTTGCGGTCTTCCATCTCGGGTGTACCGTCCGAATCGGGATATTCTTCAGACCCAAGTCAATCAACGCCTACCACCACCTACCACTATCCAGCGAGTATTATCTCCATTTTCTTCCAGAGCTTTACACTTCGATCTATAACATCTCACACGTCTTATCTCAACCGTTATCAGACTTAACAGACTATCAAACATTGCCAATATGCCGCCCGCCAAGCCCAAAGGAGATAAAAAACTCGAGCCAAAGGCTCAGAAGACTCCGGTCAACCATCGTCGTACTAGTCTTCCAACTCGGGAGGACAGTGTCGGCGAGGAGAGTTTTGATGAGAGCAATCATTCTGGCGATGATGATGATGACGGAGAAAGCTTCTCAGGCTCCTCTTCTTCGTCGGAAGTGCACTCCAAATCAGATACCACCGCCACTACCAAGTTCAAACGCTCCATTGTATCACAACGTCGATATATCCCTGACTTTGACAGTCTCCCAAACACCGGCGTTTGGATCTCTCCTGCTCCTAGCAGCCATACTGAATTTAAACAGGTCGTTGTTCGCACCACAAAGTGCGATATCTGCAATCAAAAGGTAGAAGCACATGACAAAGAAGGAGACGGTAAAGTTATGCAACGATGCCGTTGTTGCAACATTCAATTTTGCCAGGATTGTGTGCTTAGGGTGTCCGACGATAAGATACACTTTCCTGTCCTTGCAGAGTTGGAATGGGAGGCAAAGACAAAGGTTAATGCCACAACTCGGGGCGCAAATGGTTTCCGTGATCACATGTTTCACAAGCCACGATCTGAGCCAAAGCCAGTCAGACCCATGACAGCCTCAGAGAGACTGGCTATCTCGAGGGCTATCGCTTCAGGCAAATTCAGCAACATGGTTGTTAACACCCCGACCCCCTTACGTCCATCGCGAGCCAAGACAACCAAGGCTGCTGGAAAGAAGACCAAGAAGCGTCAACTTCCTCCCGGTTACGCTGAAGAGGAAGGTGATACTCACTATGAGTTGGACTGGGATTGGATCCAGAAGCTTCCCATTGAGGAACAGCGTAAGGAGAGAAAGGAAGCCGCTCAGCGCAATCTTTTGAGGAAACCAACTCTCGAGACAATGGAGGATCCTGGCACTGACGAAGCTGAGATTGATCCACCTCAAAAAACCCGAACTCCACTCCCGAATGTACCAAAGCGTCGTAAGGTTGCAACTCGCCGTCGCAACGGCAAATCCACCACCACAGCCGCCCCCACTAGTGATGTCGAAACTCCCCGCACCCAACCACCACGCAACAATCTTGATAGCCTATCTCAGGCCGTTCCAGTTACCAGAGAGAACCGTCAGGATATAAGCGAGCGATCTGATGAAGATGAGCGTGGCGTAACACCCAGTCATGATGACTTCGACAACGAAGATTGTATCCGAGTTGAAGCTAATGATGCCGAGGAGGACGACTATGAGCCTGACGACAACTGAGCTTGATTTTAGACACATTTCCTTACCTTCCGACTAGCTTTTCCGGTCCGCTCCTTCGAAAATGACCAGGATTAATTGGTTTCTCTTCACATTAGCAGATCTCAGTCACTCAAGAAGTTTCTGCAACCGAAAGGCTGCTACAACCCCATCAGCCTCTTGAGCTGTCCTACACTGCCGACCTGTCTCCGATTTAGTCTTTCCGTTCACCCAATTCATGCTATCTTTTTCCAAGAAAGCTCACGTAGCGTGGCAGAAACGACGAATCATAATTTTCTCCTTTGTTTTCCTCGTTCTTCAAAATACCCTTCACGTTTCCTATTCTGCTCTGTTTTGACCTGGATATGACCACCAGCGTCGCCCTCAAGGGCACTGTACATCATCAAAGATAGTTGCAGCATAAATACAACTGGGAGGATCGTGGTTTTAATGAGGCCAGAGGATAGGATACGTAGTGCCTGAGTACTACTAGTGCTGCTCAATGAGCATAGTCTCTCCATAGATTCTCTTTAGATAATTTTCAGAAAATACAAAAGTCATTTGACAAAATTTAGATCTGCCTTTTATGTGACTGTTGTAATAGATACCTGTAGAAATAGCTGGAATCTGAGCAAAAGATCTTTGTGTACAATCGTATCTTGGTTTTCCACCATTCCGGCTTTGACAGAACTTCCTCATAACCCATTCATCAAGCATTCCCTTCCAATGACTCACTTACTCTCAAAGTTTTCCCTCAATCCTTAATCAACTAGCTGTGAAGATTATTGAAAGAGACGAAGCAAAGAGATCAAACATTAGAAAACTAGATAGATTTCCGGATCGTGAATAGCTTGTGTAGTCGAAAGATATTCTCCTCGAGCAAAAATTCCCATTCTGAGTCATAACAGACAAGAATGGAAGCAGCTAACGAAAAGAGTGGATCGCCAACTCCTCGACATGCATGAGGTTACAAAAAAGGGAGGTGCGGATTCCACGCAATGCACAAAATCCAGCTACCGCATCAGCTTCTAAACTCCACAAGCTCAAGAATCGCTACTTTCAATCCCTAGAAGACGCGGTTTCTAGGCGTGATCCCGTTCCCGTTCGGAAAACGGTGTCAAGCCTACATGTAAACCCACGGGTTGTTTAGTCAGCATACTAAAAAATACAAATACGTTGAATCTATCGCTCGAGTGGAATTCCATCATTATCCCTAAATTCCCCTTTCCTTGCGTGTACGCTGGTTACACAGACGTTAAGATAGACAAACAAGCTTTTCCCCAACCAACTAGACAAGACCATCGCTCAATCCCTCAATATGTCGGCTGCTAATCTCGACCCCACCGACCCCCCCAACTCCGACCCCACATTTCGCAACTACACCAGCCAGCAAGCCGCGAAGTATGCGGCGCACCGTCTCTCTTATCCTGCGCAGTTATATGAGACGGTGATACAGCACCATGAGAAAACGGGAGGACAATTCAATCTCGTGCTTGATCTGGGGTGCGGACCTGGAAACGCAACGCGAGATATCGCGGCATATTTTGAAGAAGCGATAGGATGTGATGCGGGGGAGGCGATGATAGGGGCGGCTAGGAAGTTGGGGGGGAAGACGAAGAGCGGGAAGGATATTGTTTTGGTGGTTGGGAGTGGAGAGGAGTTTTTGGGGTTGGAGGAGGTGAAAGAGGGGACGGTGGATTTGATTACTGTTGCTATGGCGGTATGTGTTGCTGGTCCTGTGATTCATATTGTTGGGGGCTTTGATTGATTTTAGGGGGGGTCAGGTACATTGGTTTGATATGGATAAGTTTTGGGCGCAGGTTGCGAAGGCGTTGAAGCCTGGAGGAACGGTGAGTTTCTCCTTTGCTCCTTTGCTCCTGCACTGCTAGTGAAATCACGTTTTACTTTAGAAATTCATACCATAAACCGAGACGAGAGGGTTGCTAACACAAAACACAGGTCGCATTATGGACACGCGGTAGTACACTATGTTCTTTCCCCCGCCCCCTCACTCCCTCGAGAATCCACCCACTAACCTCATCCAAGCATCCTACTACCCGCATCCCTCTGTCCCCAACCGCTCCGAACTCCTCCGAATCTTCCTAAATTTCGAGCGCCACATCCTAGCTCCCTACGAGCTACTCCCGAACCGGCTCTCTCGTGATATGTACGACAATCTTCCTCTGCCGTGGGATATTCCACATCCCATTCCCTCTTCCATCTTACCTCCATCTCAATTTCTGAAACTCGACTACGACCGCGATGGGATCCTGTCGAATCCGGAATCCGACGATTTCTTTTTTGGCGGGAGAGAAGTCACGCTGAAGCAGGCGGAGAAGTCGTTGGAGACGGCTAGTATGGTTACGAGATGGAGGGAAGCACATCCGGAAGCTGTGGGAACGGAGAAGGTTAGTTGATTACGTTTTGATGAGATATACACCTCGCCTTTCTATGATTGAGGCTATCATGCTAATTTCTCCCTCTGAAGGATGTTTTGAGAATGCATATGGAAGAATTGAGAAAAGCGATGGGCGAGAATGAAAGTATGAGGACTGGAAGTAGCACTACGATCATTCTTGTCAAGAAGGCTTTGCAAACTTAACTCTCAATTAGGTGTCTAGTTGTTGCTATCAGTTGTACTGGTAATGCGACATACTACCTTTCCATTTGTGGTAGGGGATTAGAAGTCAAGTGGATAGAAATAGAGGATGGCATAAATGAATGTGAAAATATAGAAGAAACACAAGATTCGATAATTACTGGAGTAGATAAACTAACATATATCTGACGTCCCAATTTATAATACGTCAGTGATTAACGAAGAATTGGGTCAGATGTAATTTTTGTATGCATCAGCTTACATTTGAACTTTGGAATATCTCATCTTACATCATCAAATATGAAGAGGGCATAAGACAGTATGACATCTCACATTATCAATATGATCTAACGTGGATCTTGTCATGCTCAAAACTCTCAGGAAGGTGGTACATATTATACAAAGTGCTATGCACTTTAGCTAATAATCAGTAGACCAGCAGACCATATAACCCTAACTCCAATGCAATTCCTCCCTAGGGTAACTCCTATTCGAAGTCCTAATACTGTGCTTGAACGCCAATTTTCAAGGTACCTCCGCCCTTTCCGACCAAAGAATCGAGAGCTGGTAGATATACATGTGATCCCAATTCGCTAATATCCTTCCAGGATCCCAATACACCTGTATTATGATATGAATTATGTTCTCCAAAACAGTTCGAATGCATGCTGCGAGTGAGTAAGTAGACCATTTCCGGCCCCGCATTACCCCAAATATCCCACAGCCAGAACGAAGCTAACTCCAAGTAGAGTTTAACTTTGTCCTGGTCTTTCTCCTTCCCTTCAAACCCACTTCCCCAGCACCTATGAGAGTCTTCCACCTCCTTCCCAAATTCCCCCTATCCTTCCCTAAACTCCTCGCGCAATCTTGCCAATCACTTTTACTCAACTTGAGCTTTTTCAACACTAACTCCACTAACATTCTATCTTCCTCCCTTGACCAATTCTCACCATCTTCTTCCTCCTCCTCGTTTCTTTGTGCTTCCCTGTTACGACTCTGTGAGTCACCTCCAGCGCTGAAGACGAATGCGCCATCATCAGTAGCAGTATTCTCCATCTCGGCTAAGCGTAGCGTATGGAAATCGCTTCTTTCTAGCCCTAACGGTAAAATTTCTGGTGCAATTCTCCGTCTGCGTTTCGGTGTTCTAGGAGCTAGAAGTGTTGAGTCTCCGCGCTCTTGTTCCGAGACATCATCCATCCTCTCATGAATCATATCATCATCCGCGTCTCTCCTCCTCTTGTTGATTCCTCTTGAGACTTCTCTTGGTGTTCGTTTCGAGATGCGTTTCCTGTCGCCAGTTTCTGGCACGACTCTCTTTGCAGGAGATGGTATGCGCAATCTAAGTCTCGGATGGGAAGTCCTAGTGGGAGGTGATGAAGGAATTTCTGCATGAAGTGTGGGTGGTGAAGGTAATTGTGTCGGGGTGGTGAGCATAGATTGCAGAGCCCGACATGATTGAAATAAATTGCTGATAGTAGGTGTGGGAGATAGTGAGAGAGTAGGAGAAAGAGGTGGTGATGCGAATAGAAGATTGTGATTTCGAGATGGTTGAGAGAGTGTTTGGGATGAATCGCCACAGGCGAATGCGGACGGTAATAACATCTTTTACTATATTGCGATTTCACAATATAAGCTTGAACCTTCTTGAGATGTTGATGTTATTTTGAGAGTTGAATGTTGTAGGCAACAATGAGTGCTATTTGTTTATTTTCCAGATCAAAAAAGCAAAAGTGATGGGTTGCGACCGACGCCTAACAATAATGCGCCGGAAAGCGTCGAAGCCTTGTAATCTTTTCTTTCTCCCTTGAAAATAATATCAAAAGATTTGCACAGTTTTCTTCTATCGTTGAAAGCTTCAAGATTGATATGCGACAAAGAAGGTGTTGTGATATGTCCAATTAGGTTGTTCTTTTCTGAGCGTTTTGAAAGATCGTTTCCGTTGCTATTTGACGAGAAAGGACGAACAAGAGGGCCAAAGTGAACAAACGGGGCGGATAGCTGGGTTATGTTTGGTTATGTTAATCCCTAATGATCACGAACTGCACAATTATGACAGGGATGTGTGAAGTTGTGAAGGTGTGATCAGTGCTGCATTAGACATTTACGGGTTGTGGATTATGGATTACGGAGAGTATGGAGACGCTAAATAAATTAATAAATGAGACAGGGATAAAATAAAATGGCGAAACTCAATCCCTTCCAGTTTCCAGTTCCAGTTCCAGTTCCAGGTTCTTGATAATGAACAATAAGTTGGAAGTTTGTCTTTCTGCTTTGGCGGAGATTGGGTGGATGGAGAGAAGCATGGAAACAACCAAGGTAGGAATTAAGTGAAGGGAAGGGAAGTGAAATGAAGTGAAGTGAAAGAATAAGGGAAGAAAGGGAAGAATAGAAAAGAAGACTACTAGAGCATGACGAAAACTAGCAAAAGTACTGTTACTACCTACCTACCTACTACTAGTACTTCTATAGATATCAATTTCTCTCCCATTTCGAAAGATCCCTCAATCTAGTCCTCCGGTAGAAGGGATGACTAGATCCTATCTTTCCCCCTCTGTTAACTAATCTCTCAATGCCTCCTCCCTTTCATAGTACTCACCATCACCATTAGATACTACCCTCTTTTCCTCTATACCACACCCCTTGCCATTCATCCCGAGTCGGCTTGAGACTCAAGACTCCAACTACTCTTGCACGTTGTACCACTGTACCACTGTACCGTATAAACACCACACCGTTCCACAACCTTTCCAGCATATCTCGTTATTGCTCTTACTGGATGGAACTGAAAAGCTTGGAGCGCAAACTTCCTACAACTCATGCAAACTCAGCTAACACGGGAATTGAATCGACCAACTCCTTTCTCGTTTCTATTTAATCTATATTTTATCAAGCCGTCCACCAAACTTCGGGAAGAAGCTTCTCCCCCTCTTTTCCCCCCTTTGCTCCAAGAGTCGTTTGTGGTAACGTCCAGTGTCTTGCTAAGAATTGAAGTTTTATTCGGTTAGATAGTTAGGTTATGATTACCTAGACACGCCCTTCGCCCTTTACAATTCACTTCATCGTATCCCATTCTGTGCATCTGAAATCCAGATGGCTTTTGAAATACCTCTTTTGCTAGTCTCCCTTTAGTCAATTGAGGCATCGTACGAACACATTGTATGCTAAGGGAAATAGTTTGTACCCTTCCTGCAGCGTTAGCCTCTCCTCTGCTGTCAATTGAGGGGTTTCCGTCTACTCAATGCCACTTGCCAGTTAGTAAATAGTATGGCTACATTATGCCTGTCAAATCTTTCTTGCTACAGCTCATCATTCTTAACCGATTTCTCTTTTGAAGAAAACATTTATCAAATATCATTACCGTTGTGAGGGTATAATTGAAGTAAAGCCCCTCCTTACAAAGTTCCTTCTTATCTACTCTGTATGTAGCTCCTGCACACAACCTCAAGCATCCTCGTATGTAAAACGGTTTTCAACATAATCGATTCCACAGACTTTTTGGAATCCCTGAAAAATCGTGAATTTGAAGTATCGTTTTCATATCCGCTGTCATCCTAAAGTCTTATAATTTCCCAAATAGAGGGGCACACAAGGAAGATAAGACGCGTGTAGACACGGTTTCGCGTTACCTTTTACGCGTATGAGTCAGCTTAGTCCGATCTCTCCGATACATGTCTTGATGTCTTATCCATTCAACGATACAATCAGATGTCTTGTACTTTATTCCTCGCCTCACACTCGAGTTGAATCTGCTGACTTCTTCCTCACATCTTCATGATTTCACTAGAATCTAATCTTCAAATTTCACGCCTATCCCATCCTATCTCATCCTATCTGATACCATATCTAATCCACCTTAAAAACATTATCCTCCCTTGTCACATGTATCCTTCCTTCTCTCCATTTCCAGATCCTGCCGCCCGCTTCCAATTTCGCAGTAGCGTCTCGCTCTGCATATCCACCTATCCTGCCGCAGCCTGCGTGACCCCATTCTTAGCCTCCATCCTTCTCATGAATGATTTCTTTTTTATCAAATCAGGTAGCCAAAAGAGACAATGTCTAGCATCACGTACATGTTGCATTTGCGGTCCGTTGCCGCAAGAGATGAGAACCTAGGTACAATTATCTATACCTAGGCCCCAGGGAATCAGATCATGGGACGGGTATAGAAGTATTCATGCATATCATGAAGATCAGTTGTTTACGCACGTATATCCATTGGCTAGACAAGATGTTCAATAGAAGTACCGGCATATTTCAAATCTTGCACGGTATTTGAGAATGAGATCCTGAACGGATTCCCTTGTTTTTTGTATCTGAATCCGATTTGCTGTGTTCATTTTTTACAAGAAACTTCTTGCGCGCTTCTGATGAGACGATTGAAAAGTTGGTGTTACATAGCAAACACCAAGGGGCAAGTCTAGAACGGTTTGACCATCGTCACATGATTTTGCTAGCCACGTCTGTTATATATCACTAGATCAACATCGGGCGTGAGATAATAACACATCCAACAAATTGGGAAAACATCAGATAATGGGAAACTAATAATAACCTACCCAAGATGTGAATAACCGGTGAGTAAATCGGGAGTCCTATGTAACCTAAATATGAGCGAATCCTCGCTGTCCTAGTCAACGTTCTGATTTCAAAGATGCATCTAGCTATGTTCCTTGAAGTAGATGGATACTGTCCTAGAACTAGCAGGATGCAGTATTCCGAGCCAATTTTTCTGTTTCCTTGCAGCCATTACTACGCATTCTAACCATCAACTTTCCCAAACGTCAACCCCTTGTGTCAAAGTTCAAATTGTCCCTTTTCCATCTCTCTCTACTATTGAACATACCATACCAAGAGACGACCAGTCTCCAACAGAATCACCAATCGTTCCCACGTGATATGTCCACCCCTCGGAACTGCTTCGGCAATCCAGCCATCCGACCCATAACCCCCGATGAAAAGGCAAGCGTCCAAGTATGAAAATTGATATTGACACCAATTCCCAAGATTATCCATTCTTGTGTCTGTCTGTAAAACGATGCTTTCCACGGGTACCATTCCCCAGTGTCTCAAATCCATACACAACACCTTCGCAAGCATAGTACCAAACCAATCCCTCGGCATTCCTATATCTCTCTTTGCCGGCTTGGCAGCCACTTCGTTGATTTTCTTGACACTTCGCGATACTTGTACACCTACACACATCACCAGGATTTCTTCGTCAGAATCACAATTAGACGCAAAAACGAATTCTCACATAATTTCCAGTCCTATGAAGACTCAAATTCCTACATTGTCCCACGAAGAAAAATCCACGCTACCTTACCCGCCGGATATATTTCCCGGCGCCCGTGACGTTCCCAGTCCCGTTCGTGAACTCCCAATCTGAAAATTTTCCCTCCCCTATAGCATCACACAGTCTAACGAGTAGAACAGTATGGCAGCACACGAGCATATGAATTTGGTCCCGTGACCGGCCCCAAGGTGCTCCTCGTCCATGGGATTTCCACTCCGTGTATTGCTCTCCACTCTCTCGCTACTACTCTCGCTACCACGCACGGATGCAGAGTCCTCCTTTTCGATCTTTTTGGGAGAGGATACTCGGATGGTGTGAGCGATTTGCCGCATGATGAGAGACTTTATACGACGCAGGTTTTGCTTGTGCTTACTTCTTCCTCGCTATGTTGGGTTGGGGATGGGTTTCACATTATTGGATTTTCAATGGGTGGGGGTATTGCGGCGGATTTCGCAGTCGCGTTTCCAAAAATGGTGAAAGATGTGATTTTGTTGGCGCCAGCGGGTTTGATTAGAGAGGAACATTTTGGTTGGAAAGGGAAGATGATGAGGAAGTGGTGGTTTCCTGATGGGCTATGGGGGTGGATTCTTAGGAGAAGAGTTAGCGGGTCCTACGATACCGAGCCAAGTCCTTCATCTTCTCCTCCTACTCCTCTCCAAATCTCCGATCCGCAAGCTGATGATAAACAATATGAGAGCCAAGGACAAGTAGACTCGGAACTCACAACTGCTGTTCCCGCTTCTTCTGCTGCAACGAACACAGATACTAGGTTGTCATTTGATGATACACCTATATCATCCCTGCTACCATATATAACTGTAGGACAAGTGATGCGGTGGCAAACACAGCAGCATCGGGGATATGCAAATGCATTTGCGAGTTCAATCATGTATGCGTCAGTTTCCGGACGCATGGAAACATACAAGGGACTCTGGGGTCCCCGGGCTAGCAGCGCTGGCGAGGAGAAGAGCGAACATAACAAGCGAGAGAAGATTTTGATCATAGTAGGAGAACATGACGATGTTATTTTAGCGGAAGAGTTAAAAGCAGACTTAAAGACAGCGGTGATGGAAAGATTCGGAATGAGAGATGATGGGAGTGATATTTTTGATGAGAAAATTACCTGGAAAGTCATCGAGTGTGCGGGTCATGAATTCCCAATCACGAGGGGAGAGGAGATCGCGAGCTGCATTGGGGAATTTCTACGTATATGAAGGTGCGCGGGAAACGACAGAGTTTTTCGCACATGTCATTGTTAACCACACGTCTTTCATATCACGTGTGAGTCATGACGGATATGTTATACTACCAGGAACGAGCAAGTATAAGTTTAGAATAATCTGCTAGAAGATATTTAGACAGCACAGATTCCTAAATCTCAAAGCTATAAAGTTCACCAATCTCTCACCACCCTGGAGAGATTCAAGCCCCTCAGCACTTTACATTCAAATACGCAGCATCTAGAAGTAACATCCTCACAATTCTTTTCTTAGCGATTCATCGCTCACAAAAAGCGCAATCCACAAACGCCCTCTCAACCCACATGTTCGTTTTGTACTGCGCTCCAAGATATCTATCTACATTCCTTCATCCCTCTACATACCAGCGACGCATCAATTCTCCCAAAGGCCCATCAATTTTCACATCATGTTCACATTCAACTTTTCAGTCTCTAATAAATGCACAGATATGCTGAAAGTAGAATAAGTAAGATCTTTTCCATCTCGGCACTACCTATCCAAAACTACCCAACACCACCACTTCTCAGTTCTCACAGATGAAAACTCTCATGTACTTTTGAATTGAATTTTAGTTACTCATTAATAGATCATGAATTACCAGAAACCAAGATTGGATTTCGAATTTGGCTCTCACTCTGTCCGCCTGACTAAGATTGGGGGAGGGATAGGTTCTCAATATAACGACGACATCGAGACCCGTCACTACTGGCTTCGCTTGTGATTGTGGACTCTATGTTATATCTTTGATGCTGGGAAAAATCTCACGCCAATCGCAGAGGTATTCTAGCTATATATCCCGCAATTTACTGATAAGTGGTCATGGCAACTTCTGTGGTGGAGGTATTCATCTGTATGGGTTTCTCTCGTGGGGAGGTGTAGAACCTCTCTCATTCATTGTGATAGTCATAAGCTCACGCGCAAAAGTTGTTTTTGAAAAAGAAATGACAGTAGAGTAGATAGTAAAGCTTGAATGCATAGCTAATAATAGAGACTCACAAAAAACTTCCAGTTCCGTGTTCTTCAAAATCCGCACCCTCTCTTCATAAAAGCTAGCTCCTTGAACCCGCGTACACACCCCAACTAAAACCCTTGCTGTCTATGCCACTTTTCCTCCCATCCCGGAAAATACGGACTCTCAGCCAACGTCTCCTCTTTCCAGACTTCCTCTCCCTCCTGCGGCACCACCAATCCCTTCTCCACCTGTTCCTTTGCCCACATCTCAATCGCCGGTATGACCACATGCTCTAAATGCCAAGTCCCCTTATACTCCATCAAACTCTTCTTTCCCTCTTTCAGAATCTTGCACAGCAATGCTGGAACATATGGTTCATCCCTGAATTCCGTCACTGGCGTGAAGAGCGCCTTGAAATTAAACACCACGCCTCCGCTCAGTGGCAATCGTCTTAAAGTCTGCCAATCCACTCTCAAATGACATTCCTCGATAGTCAAATCTTCCTTCTGGATCTCTCTCAATTTCTCATGCGGGTGACCGGGTGGCATAAACAAAGGAGAATCAATTTCCAGACCCCAGCTACCACGTTGAATCGGAGCATCGGAGGCCATTTTTGTAAAGAAGCGATCCATGCTAAATGACATTTTCTCTTTGTAATCTGGGATGGGCTTATGAATGGCATCGAGCTTCAATCCAATCTTAGTGGAAACATTCCAGCCCAGCGAACTGCAGATGACGCCGGCCCGGAAATAGTACATTCCATCTTCATCGTTTCTCATCACAATTGCGAAATCTTCAGGGACATTGTTAAGTAGGACGTGGAGAGGATGCATGGATTTAATCTCAGTTGTAGTTTTGAGGAGAGCGTTGTGGAATGTTCTTTTATCGTCCGAAAGGGAGAAATATGCCGGGTAGCGTGCGCAATAGAATTGCAGACACATTTCCACAAGTTCCTTAGTGACAAGTTCGCTTCCTGGGAGGTAATCAAGAACCATTTTGCCGTATTGTTTGAATAGTCCTTGACGTTCGGCGATACGGGAGCAATATGTATTTTCGATCTCGAGCCACCAGTCAGGTTCCATTTTTTGAAAAGCTACATCATTATTAGTATATGTTGAGTGAAATCCAGGGTTATAATTACACATAGTCTGATGATATTGCCATCGTATAGGTCTGTATGGTCTAGGGAGCGCTTTCTCAGGGTTGAACCCTTCGTAGGGTTGCGGCAACGGGACTCCGGTTATGATATCATAAGGTGGGAAATCGCCCATAGCATTAATCTCTTGGGTAGAGAATCCCATGGGTGTGTATTTTGGAGTTTCGAAGCCGAGCGTATAAGATTGAGTCATAGGTAGTTTGTTCTCTGCCATGTGTTCAACTGATGGGTTATTCGAGGTCAAGATGGTGCCGAATCGTGGAGGAATATAATTCGCAACATCTGGGAGCGTGGAACGTCTGGAAGGGGGCAATGCATCGTAGTAATTTGGAGCTTTGCTGGTGGAGTTCAACGATCTGTCGGTAACCTTTTTGCTTGGAGACAACGAACGAGGAGGTGTCGCCGACGTAGACGCACGTCGATGTTTAATATGAAGTTTGTTGAATAGAGACTTGTGACAATTTTGGGTATACATAAGTATAGTTACTGTGAGTAACAAACCTATTACACCAAGGCCAAGGGGCCATTGGCTGTATATTAGAGTGGTATCGATCGCGATCATCGTGTCACTTGCGCACCATCGATCAGTGCTAAGCTTTCCTTACTTTTGTGTGATATTCTATGAGGGGAACAACGTCGATGAATCTCGTTATGTGTTTGGAATATGTGATGGATACAAGTGTAGAAACTTAGTATTTGAGTAGGATGGAGATGGTATAAGAGGATACTTGATAGATAGGTTGTCGACACATCAGGTATGCAGCTGTAAACGGATAATAAATGCGATAAAATCAGGCTATATCATATCGCAAGAAAGCTTTCTATGAACAGAAAACGAGATAGTGACTCTGGAAAGAAGTATACTTTGAAATCTAATATCAAAGCTACACCGAGCGCTGAGGGTGAGAATCTGCGTCAAATATAAACACAACTATTTTCTTGAAATACCTTTGATACCCCCAAAACATATAAGCTTCGACCATGGACAGAGCCATCTCGATTAGGGAAAGGAAATCGTGATAGATGAAGGAAGCATCAAGATCAGATTATAATCCTCGATCCAAGTGGACGAGATAAAAAGAAGAAGTAGTGTGCAGCTTTCTCCACTCACTTCTGTTCCCCTCAATACAATACACGAACTACGTACAGACGTACTATACAAGGAAACGTCATATCATGGTATCTGATACCCAAGCACCCGACTATGATATGGCTCAAGGAAATGTCCCAGTGACCCCCTCAAACGATAAGACTCCTTATCTACTGGCTCTACATTTATCCATACAACAGCCACGAGTAACCGACATTAATCGTCCATAACCACTCAGAAACTCTGTATTCCAGCAGTTTAACAGGATAAAATAGCCTAGCTAGGTTAAGCTTACATTGGCAACTCCGACACCCCGTGCGAATTGGCCCCACCATGGATTCCCGATTACTATATTCAGCGAATTGTTCCCTTTTAACTTGATTTTGGAAGGTGCTTTGCTTGTACGAAGTACAGTACTCGGGATACAAAAGGAAGAAGTCCCGTATCGTATCAATCGTACCTATCAATCGCATCACATCAGGTGATGTATTGACATGACAGCAGAGACTTCAGATACAATGATAATCAGAACGAGACATACTTTCTACCCTTCAATCAAAATCATGATGCTCGAACTAGTATACATCGGTGTTGGAGGTTTGTAATTTGGAGGTTGACTATTAGCTCTTGTTCTGTGAGTATTGAATAGAAAGCTTTGAAAGGGGTAATGCCTCGGATTGGTAGAGCACTTAAAGGTATCTTATTGGTGGTGATTTCTTGAACTTGACGTGTACAACACTTTGCTGCGTACAGTATAGCATATTAAAAAAACATAGTAAGGGTATACAATATAAGAGAACGACGAGACTATCTCTGCAACCATCAGTGTTTTGTAGTCCAACACCTGATAAGCCCCCTGATATTCAAATCTTTCCAAAGCCTCTTCGCTCACTTGCTACAATAACAAGAAAACAAAAAATGAGAACAACATTAAAATACATACGCTCATACTACCCAGTTCCCATAACCAGAATAACACAGTAGATCGTATATTCATATCTCATTTCGTTATAAATTCATTCCATTTCATTTCATTAAAACCCAAATTTCCTCCGGAGACCAAAGAAGCCAGCAGAAGCACTCGGCGCGCGGGACGTCTCGAAACCGGAGTCCCTTTGACTTTCTCGTGGAGGATCTTCTTGACTGCCTTCTGGGCTTCTTGTAGGCCTCTCTTTCTCCTTCTCCTTTTCGTATCTTTCATCTTTCCTTCGTCGTTCAGTTCCCCCTAGCCTTGTTCTTCTCAATTCTCTTCTGACAGCCTCTCCGGCATATGTTTCATCAACAGGGGATGCTTCACGCGTGGGGGAGTTGGGTGGAGGGGGTGCATCTGCATTTTCTTTCACCCAAGAACCTGTACCACTATGAGGCCAAGCTGGAGACCTGGGCTTTGAACGACTGTGGACTTGGCCATCTGCAGGAAGAAATTCCGGCTCTGGAGCAGGTGCAGACTTGCGACTCGATTTTCGAGGATCCGATGATTTTACCCGTTCTGTCCGCGGTCTCCGATGTGCTTCATCATCGTCGGGATCTTTGTGACTGCGTCGATGTTTGGACCGATATGGATCTTCACCTCGTTGCTCGCCATCTACTTGGGCAGCCTTTCTCCGTTTCCTGGCTCTTCGTTCGGCCTCTCGCTCCTCTTCGACTCGAGGTTCGTCAGCTTCAGCAGCAGGTCGCCTGTCTCGTTTAGCAGTGTGTCGTGCCTCACGGTGACGTTCATCTTTCTCTTCCCTTCTGTGGCGCTCTTTCCTTGGCTCTTCCTTTGCCGTTTGTACATCCTTCGTACCTCTTTGATTTGCGTCGCGCTCAGCAGCAGCAGCCTTCCTCTTATCCTTCCTGTCGCGACGAGCTGCTTCTGCTGCCGCCTTCTCTTCCTCGGAAATGGCACCTGTCATGGTGACCTCGGGATCTACATCTCTAGAAGATCGTCTAGTCTTTCGTTCATCCCTTCTGTATGCACGGTTCTCATCTTCAGCTGGGGCCGTACTACGACGTTTAAGGTCTGGTCTATCCTTTTCTTTATCTTTTTTTCCAAAGACGCCAAACATGCCACCCAATCCAGATTTGCGAGCACTCGAATCAGTTCGTTTAAGTCCCGGTGTACCTGGGATTTCAGATGGACCTCCTTGCTCCTCCATGTCGACGTCGTCTTGTCTTCTTTGTTGATACGCTCTAGCGCTAGCAGTCCAGTCTGTGGTAGGCCTGGTCTTCCTTCGAATTGGTATATCCATGGGTGGCGGAGGCATAGGTACAGGTGGTAGCGCTTGCCCATCAAACATTGAGTCATCAGTTACCTTTGATTTTCCTTTTCTATCGCGACTAGATCTCTGACGAATAGGATCTGCCACGTCATCACCTACCACGTCATCATCTTCATAATTAAGTTAGCATAAGTAATAGTTATGATACACTGACGGGTCTACGTACCACGTGATGGCCTGGTCTTTTCGGACTTGCTTCTTGAAAGCTTGCCAGGGACACCGATACCAAACATTTTTGCAGCCTTTGCGGACATTGGAGGGGGCTCACGAGAATCATCGGGTATTGGAGTTGCGTAGTTTGAGCTATCCATGTTGACAGATTGTCGGCGCGAGCTTGTCCTACTCATACTTGGTCGCTTTTCAGATTTTGAATTAGACCTCGATAGTGGAGTAGCGGGTCCAAACATATTTGAAATTCCCCTAGAAACTGGTGGCCTGTTATCTCCCTTGGAGGCTTTGTCTGCTTTGTCCGAAGATGAGTCTTTTGATGAAGAAGTCTTCTCCTCTCTAGTAGATGATCTTCTAGATTTAGAATGCCGAGGGTCGGATTCCCTGGTAGACCTTCTCTCCTCTCTAGTGATTTGAGGCTCATCGGATCTACGCTCACGGTCCCTGGATGGCTTTTTCTCCCTTTCTTCCTTGCGAGGCTCTGCCCCCCACGCTCCCCAAGAAGATCCATCGCGAACAACTCGAGGACGTTCTTTCTTATATTTATGATCCGAGTCTTGTTCTCGTTCCAGATCTACTTCAGGAGGTGGTGTCGGTGGTTCAATGGGTACAGGAAGTGCTCTAGAAAATTCCTTGCTCTTACTAGATTTGCTCCTATTTTTCTTTTGAATTGGCATCTCGACAATATCGATAATTTCGTCACCGTTTGCAGAATCCGGGAATGCACCAGGAAGAATTTCCGAATCTTCCAACCTTTCCTTGTCTCTTCTGGAAGATTTAAGTTTTCTCCTTTCTTCCTTGGTCGGCACGGGCGGCGCAGCAGGTGGGGGTGGAGAAGGTGCTGGGAAATATTCATCTATTTCTTCTTCAGATTCATGAGGCTCCTCAAGGGGTTTATTTGCTTCAAATGCTCTTAACCTATCAGCGATAGTGCCTCCAACTGGTTTCTTCAATAAGCTTGATTTTATTGATGGTGGTGGCCATTTGGTTGTCGTGTCCTTGCTCTTAGAAGAGGTTTCTGGGCGCATCGCTTTGTCAGCAATCGCAATCTCGTCTGATCCCGTGCCCCAAGCCATAAGGTTCTTAGTGGATGCCTCGGCAAGATTAGTTTTACCAAATTCCCTATCATCCTTGCTCGGTGATGGCTTCTCTATCACTGGCGATTTTTTAGGAGCTCCCCAAAAACTAAAAGCTTGAGATGCTGGCTTTGCGGTTGTTGTGCGGTTACCTAATGCTAGAATTTCATCTACTTCTTCCTGGGTTGGTTCTAGATCTTCATCTGGCTCTGGTGTTGGAGCTTTCGTTGGGATTGGCGGCGATGGCGGTGGCGGTGGTGTTGGAGGAAGAGGTACTGGTTCTTTGCTGTTTTTAGACTTCTTACCCTTACTTAATTTTGATTCTTTTCTAAGCCGTCTAGAAGCTTCGGCCTCTTCTCTGAGAGCTTTCTTCTCCGCCTCTCTATTGACACGCTCCATTTCTTTTCTAGCGGCTTCCTCTTCCTCTTTGATGATTAGTTCTTCCTCCTCTCTTGCTCTTTCTTCCTCCTCTCTTGCTCTTTCTTCCTCTTCTCTTGCTCTTTCTTCCTCCTCTCTTGCTCTTTCCTCCTCGGCTTCTCGAGCGGCATCTTCCTCGGCTTCTCGAGCGGCATCTTCCTCGGCTTCTCGAGCGGCATCTTCCTCGGCCTCTTTTGCGGCTTGTTCTTTTTCAGCTTCCAGCTTTGCTGATCGATCGGCTTCTCTCTGTTGTCTCTTTGTCAATTTGACTTTCGGTTTGGCTGCTTCAGCCTCTTCTGCTAATCTTATAGCTTCAATCCTAGCTTGCTCTTCGGCTTCCAAAGCCTCAGCCTCGACTCTCGCTTGCTCTTCAGCTTCGATTCGTTCTTGCTCCTCGGCTTCGAGTCTCTCTTGCTCTTCAGCTTTCAACCTATCTGCCTCTTCCTGCTCTTCTTTCAATTTCCTTTCAGCCTCTTCCTTTTCAGCCTTTTTTCTGGCTTTCTCGGCTGCCTTGTCAGCTTCTTTCTGTTCCTTCTTGCTGAGTTTGACAGGTGGGGATTCTTTCTCCTTGGATTTGGATTTCTTTGATGAAGATCCAAAGCCCCACAGGTTATCTGTTTCGGGTTCTGCTGGGGGTGTTGGGGCTGGAGGAGGAGCTTCAATCTCAAGGATATTCTTTTTCTTGCTCTTCTTCTCACTCTTTTTGTCTGGTTTACTACCTGAGGCAAGACCCCATATTGAACTCCAATCGTTTTTGGGAGGCTCTGGTTCGGATTCGGATTCGGATTTTTCGGCCTTCGCTTTCTCTTCCGCTTCGACCCTTTCTCGCTCTTCGGCCTCGAGTCTTTCTTGCTCAAGTCTCTCTTGCTCCTCGGCTTCAAGTCTCTCTTGTTCCTCAGCTTTCAATCTAGCTGCTTCCTCTTTCTCTTCTATCAATTTTCGTTCAGCTTCCTCTTTTTCAGCTTTCCTTCTAGCTTTATCCGCATCCTTCTGTTCTTTTTTGGTGAGTTTAACTGCTGGTTTAGATGAAACCGGACTAAAAAAGTCATCGAATTTAGAGTCCTTGAATGATTCAGCTTTGGGAGGTTCTTCAATAAGGTTCTTTTTCTTCTTCTTGTCTTTCGAAGAAGAGCCCCATCCCATGAAATCATCAACAGCAGGTGGGGCGTCTGGTACCGGTGGAGGTGACATGGGCTCATCAAACTCGTCGACAGGGAGTAGAGATTCTTCTTTACTCTTGGTATTTTGTCCCCAATTCATCCAGTCATCATCATGGTTTGCAGGTTCTATGGCTTCATATATCGGCTTATTCTCAGGCTCAGGCGAAGGCTCTTTATTTTTGCTCCCCTTCTTTTTGTCTCTCTTGGAAGTAGAAGCAAATCCCCAGCTGAAATCATCCATAACAGCTGGAGGTGGGTCAGGAGCCGGTGCGGGTATAGGCTCGTCATAGTCATCAATGATTCTGGGTTCCTCAGAGCTCTTCTTGCTCTTCTTCCTGTCTTTGTCCTTGCTAGAGATCCTGTCCTTCTCTTTGCTCGAGGTTTTATCTTTCTTTTTGCTCGAGGTAAGAGCACCCCAAATACCTACAGATTCAACAGATTTCGGGGCCGGTTCGGGTTCTGGATCTTGGAATTCTTCTTCAAGTGGCTCCTCATCTTTTTCTTTGTTATCAAACCCCCAATCAAAGCCACCATTCGCTGGAGCAGTTGGCAAATTCTCCTCCTTGGATTTCTTTTTCTTGTCCTTTGTAGAACTACCAGGTCCCCATGAGTCCCATGCTTGAGTTTCCTCTGCAGGTTCATCTTGTTCTAACTCTGGTTCAGGTTCAGGCGGCGGCGGTGTCGGTGCCCTCACAACTTCAGGTTCCACAACAGCGTTCTTACCTTTCCTCTTCTTTTCTTTCTTGGACACCTTGGCTCCCCAATTCGGTTCGGGTTGTGGTGGTTCGATTACCGGTTCCGGTACAGGTTCGGGTTCGGGTTCTGGTGTGGGTTCTCTTGCGGGCTCTGAGGGAGGAAGCGACTCTTCCGTAGTTTTCTTCTTCTTCTTCTTTTCCTTTTTACTAAGTCCCCATCCCCAGCCACCCTCTTCTTCTTTTTCTTCTTCTTCTTCTTTGTTGTCCTCAATTACAGGTTCGGGCTCCGGTGGTTCAATGACTGGCGGTGGTTCTTCTACTTTTGGCAGTTCGTCAATAATTGCATTCTTCCCCTTTTTTTTCTTACCCGATTTGGTATTGCCCCAAGCAGAGATGGATTCTTCCTCTTCCGCCCATTCACGAACAGGATCAGGCTCTAGGTCTTTTTCGTGCTCGGGTATAGGATCCGGTGGAGGCGAGTCTTCTGGTTTTGATGTTTCAGCAAGTTTTTCCTTTATCTTTTTGGTCTTCTTGGATATTGTTCCAGACTTTGAGGCTTCTTCCACAAGGGCAGGCTCAGGAGGGGGAGTAGGTGATTTCTCCTCTACAATAGGTTCTACGAGAGGCTTCACAACAGGCTCGACTACGGCTTCCATTTTTGGGGGTTCATTGGCTGCTTTACCTTTCATCTTTTTGCTTGTAGCACCCCAAGCATCCCAAGCAGCGTCGTCCGAGGCAGGAATATTGATGGGTTTTGGGGGCTCCACTTTGGGTTCTTCTTTGGGGGCCACTTCAAACCTATTTATCGCAGAAGCTACGGTGCCTCTACTTTTCTTCTTCTTCTCTTCTTTCTTGGAAAGACCGATGTTAAACCCAAGATCTTCTTCTGGAATAGGGTCTGGCTTTAGTTCAGGCTTTGGCTCGGGCTTCTTTTCGATTTTTCGGGAATCTGTTAAGCTGCGTTTAGTTTCCTCCTGGCCAAGGGCACCGAATGTAAATCCCAGGCCTTGATTTTCGGGCTTACCACGTTCATTACTCCAAGGATTGTTGGCATCCGCGGTGGCCTTGTTCACTGGAGATGGTGTCCTTGCGCTTGTTGCGCTTCCAATACCCCATTTAGACACACCAGTAATCCAACTACTGCCCCAGCCACCTAGAACGCCGGGTAATTTTGGGCTTACAGTACTTCCACCAGAGTCTACATTCAGGTCGGGCTTTGGTTTATCATCCAATCTGATGTCGTCAAACGTTTCAGCAATCTTTATCTCGGGAGCGGGAGGGGGCGGAGGTGGAAGAGGGTCTGGTTCCGGCTCGGCATTTCTTCCCTTTTTCTTCTTCTTCTCTTTCTTAGCCGTTATAGTGTAGCTGTCCGGTATGTTTTTGGTGGCCCGCTCAGCAACCTTCTTTGCTTCCTCTCTCTCCTGCTCTCTCCTCTCTTCTTCTTCTCTTTTCTCCTCTTCTATCCTCTCTGCCTCTAACCTCTCCTCTTCTTTCCTCTCTTCCTCTTTTCGTTCCTCCTCTTTTCTCTCTTCCTCTCGCCTTTCCTCTTCTCTTCTCTCCTCCTCCTTTCTGTCATCTCTCCCATTGCCAGAACCACTCCCATTAGCTCCAGCATCGCCATTATTACCATCATTATCATTCTTCTTCATACCATCATCTCCATCGTCGTCCTTGGATTTGTATACTGGCGCATTGTTCTTTGCATTCTTCTTCTTATTACCCTTCGCAGCCACCTTAAATCCATCTTGGAAGTTGAAATCGACAGAGGGGTTTAATCTAGGATCGTCGAATGGCAATGGTTCAAGAATTCTTTCTCGCGAGGTTATAGGGGTAGCGGGGTGTTTGATATAGTCTTGCGACTGTGATTTGGCGAGTGAAGTAGTACCATGTAGGTCTACTGTATTCTCTTCGTCGCCTTGTGCAGATCCATGACAATGCCACCTTGGTAGCAAGGTTGCGATTCTCAATCTTTCGTTTCTTCGCCTGCGGGAACTGGCTTGTATCGGATGGAGGTTCTCGTCCTACAAACGATATTAGAAATCTATGTCGAAAATACTAAAACAACCCAAGCACAAAAGTCGCTACTTTGCGACTTGATGTCTTGCAAATAAATGGAAATCAAATAGTTCCCACATGGGCTGCTTGAACTTCAATATATGCAGTGGGCTTGGGTCATTTCTAATCTCGTCCATGGTGCTCGCGACCATTGCATAAATTCACCAGTTGCACTGCGCCAGCCTGATTTGGGCGCAGACGTAGAATTGAAACCATATAGAAATTATTTGTATGCATACCAATCCCGAATGCCATATATCTGTCTGTGTCTGCGAAGCCTCCCAAGCCTTTGCAATGAATCTCAGCCTTATGCGAATATCCCCCTCATCCCATCCAATCGTCCAAGGAAAGGTCGTATTCAATCCACAATCGCTTCCGTACAACAAAACCTCAACCGCTGCCATTGTGGGCGTTCAAAATTTGGTTATGGCAAGAAGAGGTCAAATTCATCGAAACTGTGTGGTACTCGGCGTGAGCGCAATCTGAAGGGGGGCTGGCAAAGTGGGATCCGCTTCGAATGCGTGGCAGAAGGGCAAGAGAGATTTCGGAAGGAAAGAAAAGCAAATTGAATAAGGCTGAGAGGATACAAGTACAATTCAACAGTATTGCCAGGTGAGAGTTAATATGTAGTTAGTAGATCAGTTCAAAGAGGGTATGATATGGTATGGTATGTAGGGTACGAGGAGAACTTCGGACGTGGTCACACGTTGAATATTGCCCTGGTCGTTTGTATCCTGCGTTAATTCTGAGACATTCAATCAGGTATCTGCGCTGAGAGTGATGATCCCCTCCCCAAAGAAAGCCTTATCAAGACCCCTATCCGTGCCACTTCAATGTACCTAGATGTAAAACATTCGACGTTTATATATATATATATATGTTCATCTGAAAAAGTAAATCATTCTCGAGGTGAAAGAGTTTCCAAAGAATAGACCAAAAGATGGATTTAGACCGACAAAAGGGATGTTTACATTGACCAACGATACTTCAGGGAACAAGATTCTCGCATTGGATGACACTAATAGAGCCATGTACAGTTATGGTTATGCATTGTGCAAGTACGCCTTCACACACCTGCAGTTGTCGAATGGGACAAGAAGAACACACGATGACTGGTAAAGTTTCCACTTTTTACTTGTGCTTCGTAGAGGTTGCGGGTACAAGCAGGAGCGGACAGGTAACTAATAGGCCCAAGTTAAATCGGTAGGGCAGGTAGATCTGTGGCAAGCGTGCTGTGGTGTGGGTAATGGATAATGATTGGTATGACTTGGGATAATTCATCTGTGAGGTAAAGGTAGTAAGTAGTAGTTGGTTGTACAGCCAGCATTGACTCTTGTCGTTGGTTTTAACGAATGATCATATTTACATAAAATATAATAAAAATACAATAAAATGTACACATAATCACGTACTGTCCAGTGAGCGTGGTCGAGGGTCAATTGTGTATGTATCGATCGTTGTTGTCAATTGTCAATTGTCAATTGTCAGTTTGGTCTGTCGTACCATCATCTCAGGCCAGGCTCGCTCTTCATTAGTTCTGGCCCTGGACACCTTTTCGCCATCGCCATCTCATTCTTCTCCACTGTTTGAGACTCTTCGACGTATTTACGAATAATACCTACAGTAAGTAGGCGTACTTGGCTACACCGCTTCTTGACATCAAGTATGAAGAACTGGGATCAAGAGAATGAATGGAAGTGCGACCACACAAGGGCACATACGCGGTATCTTTCCTGCGCAGTCCGTCCTCCTTCGCATCGAGAGGCTGAGGGAGGGTGAAGAGAAGAAAGCATAGATGAAAAGCCACACAAAGGAAGCGCTGGTTGAAAGTAGAAAGGATATGAATATTTCCATCAAATTACATTCTACAATTGGCTTCATGCATAAGAGGATGTTACTAGGTATTTTGCTTTCCTAGCCATGGGTTTGGTTGGCTGGTGACACTGCATATTTTCGAAATTGGGACGAGGTGGCAACTAGAAATGTGATGTATCGTGGGAAAACAACACTCTGATTCGTTTGAGGGATGTGCAAAGTATAACAAACCGCGGGTACCGACGTATCTTTAATATCTGCTTTTTCTTCTTTGGTCCGAGTCATCAGAAATCGGTACGCTATCGAGGCTGGATTTGTGTATAGAGAGGACATCTACCAGTATCTAGTAATCAGAAGGGCCAAAATCTTTTGATTCATTTATGTTTATCATGCAAACCACAAAACTGCAAACGATTCCACCCAATGCATTGAGAAAGGTCCATTCCCGAGTCAAGTTTGAACTCGAGATATATGGGGAGAGAAGCAGAAAGAGACAAACGAGGCAATCAAGGCAACCCCAAATTCAACGCAGAGTTCACGAGTCCTCATATCCATCCGGCCATATTGAGAGCCGTCACCGTGTCAGTCGCACCCACAAGAAATTGGGTATCGGGTATCGAGGGTATGATGTTCAAAAGTTCTCTTGAACACATGATGAATCTACCCAGGTAGATAGGTAGGTAGGTAAGTAATGAGATAAATCACCATCCACACCATCACTTAAGTAAGTCTACTTTAGGTCGCTTAGCTCGCAACCATTCGTCCCAATTTCATGGTTTTTATTTTCAGCCTGAAGTAACATGAAGTCATCGTGTTCAACTTTTATTTTGATATATACCGCGTTTATCTTCGTATATTTCATGTTTTTGTAAATGGAAAGTTCATACTATTTTATACTATTCGAGTACTTTTCCTTTCTCTTTTGCTTGATAATGAACCAAAGTTTAAAACAGTCCACAGATTTTCGGGTCAACAATCCCTCCGACCTTCTAGAAGCACTTTGACATTCTTTTTTTTTTCAAAAACTACAGAGAACTACCACACAAATCTACAGAAATCATATCGCCGTACAAGAGTGGAGTCTTTCGGACTTCAAGTCCAGTGATTGATAATTTCAAGTCCTTCAAGACCAGGCATTGCGGAGGATGTTTTTATCCGCAGAAGATGCTAGATGTCTCTAATGCGTTTCACCTCAGGCCTTGCAAATACGATTTTTACGCAAAGTAAAATTGCTAGATACTCCCCATTGCCGAGGTTCAACGACGGTAACCACGTTGTTTACTAACCTTTTACCTGTTCATTGACTACGTAGTCATGTACGTCGTAGACAACCCATGCTAGAGAGGGGCATAGTGATATCAGAGTAAAAATTTCCAGCCAAACAAACTTCCCCCCGCACCGATTCCCATCCTCAACTTGTCCATAATAAGGATCGAATTAAGTTTTCGGTCTCCACTCGATGAGCTCAAGCTCCGTTCCTAGATTATGATTATTATCAATCATGCTTTGAAGACTACCGGTCGTGGATACTTCAAAAGAAGTCCTGATCCCCGCTCAATTCCTTTTAACAATATCAATTGAACATTTCCACATCAAATATACCCCGTTTACAGTATAAAACCGTATTTTCCATCAACATACCATATCCAAAATGCCATCAAACACCGCAATCGTCGTTCAGAAGCCTGGAGAGGCCAAGGCAGTTGAGGCCTCAATCCCAAAACTTAGAGATGATTACATCTTGATCAAGACCAAGGCTGTTGCTTTAAACCCAACTGACTGGAAACACGTTGAGTGGCTTACCAGCAACGGAGCTAGAGTAAGTCTATGCACCTCTTGTATCTTTACCAAACCATGCTAATGACTCTCTCTACAGGTCGGATGTGACTACGCAGGTGTCGTCGAGGAGGTCGGAAGTGCAGTTACCAAGGACTTCAAGAAGGGCGATCGCGTATGCGGTTTCTGCCACGGAGGAAACGAGGTCAATCACGATGACGGAGCTTTCGCAAACATCATCACTGCAAAGGGTGATAACCAAATCAAGATCCCAGACAACCTCAGCTTCGAAGAAGCCGCTACCCTCGGTGTCGGAATCACAACGTAAGTTTTCCAGACAATTCAAATCTTCCCAATTCACCCCTCCATCCATCCATCTAACATACTCCTTCCCAGCGTCGGCCAAGGTCTCTACCAATCCCTCCAACTCCCCCTCCCCACCTCCCCCGCCTCGAGCAAATTCCCCGTCCTCATCTACGGCGGCTCCACCGCCACCGGCGCCCTCGCTATCCAATACGCTAAGCTCTCCGGCCTCACCGTCGTCACCACCGCCTCCCCTCGCAACTTCGCGTACCTCGAAAGCCTCGGTGCCGACAAAGTCTTCGACTACAACTCCCCCACCTGCTCCCAAGACATCAAAGACTTCACCAACGACAACATCAAGCACGCCTTCGACTGCATGTCCGAAGGATCCAGCACCCAGATCACCGTCTCCGCCATGTCCTCCGCCGGCGGCGTCTACAGCACTCTCCTCCCCGTCGCCACCGAAGAAGTCCACAAGTACAACCCCAAGGTCGAGAACAAATCCACCCTCGGCTACACCTGCCTGGGCGAGAGATTCACCTTTGGCGCCAACGAAATCCCCGCCAAGCCCGAGGACTTCGAGTTCGCAAAGACTTTCTGGGAGATGTCCCGCGGTCTCTTGGCCGATGGAAAGATCAAGGTTCACAAGGTCACCCTGAACAAGTTTGGAGAGGGCTTCGAGGGTATCTTGAGCGGAATGCAAGCTATGAAGGAGGGTAAGGTTAGTGGTGAGAAGTTGGTCTATACTTTGTAAAATCAGCGAATCCGGATGTACAACACTGTAAATAAAAGAATGGAGTAGTATAGTTGTTTGCTCGCTTATAGAAAGCTGAGCATATTTATATTATAGAATGTTGGATATGCTTAATGAACACCTTATCCTTTAGTACGAATTTTCCCTCTATTGACTCAATCCCTTCACATGGGGCTGTGCAACTATATAAGAGTATTATCATGACTTAAAAACGGCTCTTTTGCCTCGTATTCGCCCAATCGATGCTGTTTCGTCATGGGAATCCCTACAACACTTTCATTTTCATTCCTGTCAAATGCATTACACAAACTCATATAACACGCCTTAATCATCATGCATAATAATGTCAACAGTGTATCATTTCTAGATTCGTCCCCTGGAACGTTCACAGGATCGCATCAACTATTTGAATCACCTCAAAAATCAAAAGAAAACTCCACCAAGGTAACTTACGAAGCGACTGCCGCTCACCGCAGAAGCCATGACATGAAACCCAACAGAAACAGAATTCGTGGTATCTAAAGCGCCAAAAGAAAATTTCTCATCAATACCTAAAAGTCCCCGTCCCCTCTAGAATTTGACAGCCGTGAAGAAACAAAAGAAAGTCAATGCATGTATGCATGGCGCTGACTACCATTACAAACAGACTATCGACCACTCATATCACTCGAATAGCCAGTATTATATGCGTCCGCCATTTGAGGTTGAGGGTAACCATGTTGTGGACCGGGGCCACTAGAAAGGTATCCTCCATCGTCACCCTCGTCATAATACTCAGAGCCGCTGGCATCGAAACTGCTTCTACCACTATGATCATCATCGATATTATTGTCACCATGAGGAATCTCTGACCAGCTTAAGTTTGCAAGCGCAGGGTATTGTGCGAGAAGCGCAGCAGGTAAGCCGTAATTTCCACTCGAATCAACGGCAAAACCATTAGCATCTTGACCCATAGGCTGTTGTTGCATATGCATGTTTTGCATCCGTTGCTCTTGCCACAATCTTTGTCTCTCCAGAGCCTCTTCATCCAACAGAGGTTTTATACAGATTCTGCCAGCCTCGGATCTGAAATGCCGGCCCAACGCATCAGCTCTAGCAAAGCGGCGACCACATCCCCATTGGCCGTGTTGCTTCAGCTCGCCTTTACAAACGAATTTTTTCTCTCCAGAGTGAAGACCCTCGTGACGTTTCCGGTCATGTTGACGCGCAAAAGCTTTGCCACAAACCGTGCAAACGAAAGGTCGCTCGTCAGTATGTGTACGCAAATGGGAGCGGAGATTGTAGGCTCTTGTAAAACGCTTTGGACAAAGGGTACATTGGAATGTTGCCGGGTGTTTTTGCACTCGCTTTGCACTGCCATTGTCGGATGATACTGCTTGGTAATCAGGATCTGCAAGACCAAGAATATAATCTCGGTTTGGTAATGACGACGTAGACTGTCGACGCCGACCAGGCGAAGTTGCCCCCGATCGATCATTTGGCGATAATGAGCGCGATGCTGATGAGTCATGACCTAAGGGAGACAGAGAATTTCTCATCAAAGGAGAGGCGTTTGAAGGGCTATGAGGACGCGGGCTATTATATGGGTCCGAGACAGCTCTCCTACGACGACCTGAAAGAATTAGCTATAATCACGTTAGATAGTATACATATGCAACTTACCTCGGTCAGGTGGAGTTAATGCGTCTTGGTCAAGAGCTGATTTGGGAGGATCGAAACTGTTCTGTCTTGATGCTGGGGCGAACTCGACATTGATCTCGGGGGGCACCATCTGTTGCGCCTGGCCCATGTCTAGAGAACTGTTATGTTGCATTTGTGGAAATGATTCTTGGCCTTGAGTGTAAATGTTTTGAGAGGGAAAACCATTGTTCGCGTTTAGCATGAATGCATTTTGTTGATCCATGTTTGGTATTTGCTGAGGTCCGAGTCTAGGTGAGATTGCAGGACTATGAGCAGGGCTAATTCCGGCGTGAGGACTTGGATCCGTCAAAGAGAAAGAGCCGATTGCAAGAACGTCCTGATAAATTGCGTCTTGAGGATGTTGCATCGGTGAGTGCTGTTGATCTATTCCTTCAAAGCTATCGTGGTGACCTAGATTAGGGGAGTGGGCGGCGGAAGAGATATCAGAGTATTCGGATGGAGTTCTGCGATGGCCAGTGAATTGCGGGGGCATCATACTCCAGTCACCAGGATTATGTACTAAAGGAAAAGCTGCACTCTCTGGGCCAAGTGATGCGTTTCGTGAATGGCCGGGTGGTGGTTGAAAGGGACCTTGATTAAAAGAAGGAGATTGGTGGGCGGAAGCTGGTGATCGGCTATCAGGTTGCAACAAGTTTGGTGGTGTTGGTGTATGCGCGGGGGGTGACATGTTCAACTCTGCAGGATTTATGGATGGATTTCCGGATTGAGGCGCAAGCTCATTCATGAAATAGGACTGGTCAAATTGCTCGTTTTGTCCACTATTGGGATACAATGAGAAGTCTCCGTCAAAATTGGCACTTAAAAGCTCTTGGGTAAAACTTCGCTGCGGGGGAGCAAATGATGATTGATCTTCTTGTTTAAATTGAGAATAGTCCTGTGTTTGGCTTGGTGCAAAATTGGCATCACCGAGTCCACTTTGACTAAATTGTTGAGTTGGATTCAAAAATTCGTTGTTATCAACATAAGTAGGGAGTGTTGTGTTTTGGGGATTAAAGTTATTCTGAAACTGTTGGTGGTTGTTGATACGCGAAGGATCCAAAGCAATGCCTAATCCGTTCATACCATCTTGGAAGGCATGTGGAGAAGGAGAATGATTTCTTATATGTTGGTGACCTCCAGATGGAGATCTTCCACGTTGTAAATCCATGTTGAAAGTTTGTTTGCTCCTTCTAAAAATATCAAAATGCTGCGAGGTTGTCGAGGATAGCAGTGAGCCTTACAGGCACGGTGGCAGTGCAAGTCAATGGGGCTTAGCAGCGGATATCCAACCAGATCGCAAGCAGTTATTGGCTGAATTAATTGAACTTCCAAAATAACTATGAAACTTTGTTGAATTCCTGTGTAGGTAAGGGAGCTATGCGAACATGCAGTTCTTTGTTCGAGCTTATGGTCGTTGTTTTGAGAGTTTTGGAGGGGAAATTCCACCGAAATCAAAGGCGAAATGAGGTAATCTCGATAATGGGATTGCGATTGCGCTTTCCACCTGTGCCGCAGACTGCTCTTGAGAGTATTGGTACAAGCCGAAAGAAATGCTTTCGAAGATGCAGGCCCCTGATGTAGAATTTCCTTTCGAATCGAGTATTGTAATTCAAGAATAAGCGCCAACAGGATGTTGGATGTTGTTTCCAAACTTGGTCGAGGCAGTAGATCTTTTCACGCCTAAAGTCGAGTCGTTCGCGATGGAGTGGGGGGTTATTGAATCTGCGTTTGTGAAGCGCTCCTTCATCTGGGACCACAGATATGTATTAGCAAACTTGTTCAATCGTATTTAAGGCTAGAAATCCGCGATAAAAATGGTCGGTTCAAGTATTGGTGAATATCGTTGAGCGCATGGCTGGAAACCAAATGAGTTTGCCTGCTGGATCGAGTCTATTTCGACTTCACGGCCCAAAGATAGACCTAATAAGACACTATGCCAACCAACAACAAGCAAAAAAAGATAATATCGACTTACATGAGAATGGTAAGATATCAAAAATATCGTGCCTCTCTAAAGTTGGGTGAGATAACCTTATTCACCCTGAGCGTGTCTGTATGAGGGTCGCAGGTTGTTGATTTTGTTTCATACATTTGATGACATTGAAATGCTTATCGTTTCGGGAGACAGTCCAGTTCTACAATCGCTTAGAGCCTTACCGCAAACCTCCGTGTCTGTACAGTACGAGTGTAGGCAGTTCTACTGGAAGGACAAAACTAATTAATGAAGTGATTTTGGTTTGATGTTGCTTCACATATGTACTACTTTACTTATTGAGTAGGTACTTACTTACATCTAAGAGACACAACACACCATTTTCTATTATTGTAAATCTTACCACTGTGTAAAATTGTGAATGAGTAAGATGTAAAGGAACAGAAAGCTATGTAACTTTACATTCACAGGGTCAGCCAGTATCTGGATTCATTCATAGAGCTTGGTATACCTAGTGGCAGTAGGTAAGATAAGATTATTATTTCAAATACCACGAGTATACATTCAGATGATTATATCCAAAATTAAGATCTGACATCTTACCAAGGTATCCCCTATGAGCTTCGCTCTTTGAAAAAGAGTGAAACCTTAAAGTAAAAATTGAAAATACTTTACATTTCCATGTCCATGTCCATGTCCATTTCCATTTCCATTTTCATTTTCATTTATCCCAAACCCAACCAACGGCTCCCCCCCCCTCCCGCTCGTTGATGATGCTTGTGATTTGCCTTATAGTTACAGAGGACGCAAATCATCATGGCCAAAGCTTTAGTCCTCTACAGAGTACAGAAACACGCTTTTTGTCAAACATGTCACTTGTGAAGAGGAGGAGATGTAGATAATCAGTAAAGCACTAGAAATCACTTGCTTCAGAATTTTGTTTGGAATCGTATTGATAGTTTGGTTATCTGTTCAGTTGTTGGTTGGTGCAGGAATTCTCCCTTCAAGAGTCGGTGCATAAGTGCATGAGTGCATGATAGTGATTCATTGTACACAAGTAACTTTTGTTTGGATTGCTTCAACAGGTAGGTACCTTTTCTCTCGTGAATGAATGTAAGGTACAAGGAACAATTGCTACCTACCTGTCGAATCTAATTGGTACGCCCGCATCCATAGCATCCATCACATCCAACTGTTGGGCCGTAATTATATCGTTGATGAACTTCCTACTGCGTACTCGCTCGTATTTCCATTACCATTCCATTACCATTACCTCAACATCCCTTTTTGCCAAGATATCAATAGCTACATCAATACATTCTATCATTCTCATATGGAAATGTGGATACAATCAAACCCGTCTTTTGTGTCATTCGAGGTCGAAATGAAATCTACTGGCCCTTTCGAAGATAATCAATATTGATTAGTCTGGCTCAGGTATGGTATGAGGCTATGGCAGGTGTATTTATATGTATCTGCAACAAGAAACCTAAATATGAACAAACCAAACTGCTAGACGGGAGTGACAGGCAACTCTTCAAAATATAGCTGAAAAAAAGTGCTCCACCAACATGCAGCTTGCTTCTCATGAACCAACCCTCTTTTCATCAATTGACTCATGATGAGCTGTTTGAACAGAGTATCTGAAAACGCACTTGCTAACATCTACTCTCTGTTCTGTTTCTGAATCACCATGAAACTTTTGATGGTGTCATCACTTCTGCAACAAATGCTCTTAGTGAGAATTGGTCTTGCAGTAGAAAAGTGGATATTTCCGAGGACTTAACTCTACTCTGTATGCGTAGAATGAAAATCGTAAACACCATGATAATTTGGTAAGAATATATATCCTCAAAACACTTTTCTCAAAGAGTAGGTAATGCAAGACCATGAGCCAAGTTATCAAGTTTTATAGCTAGATACTGCACATCCTTATTTCTTTGCTCAGAATGTTGGGATGAGGCTTTCGGCAACCGCGTTTCTGCAGCATCAAGAAGATGGCCCCGTCGCTTGGCAGTTTTGGCAGTTTCTTTGCCATGTAGGTTCTTTTGTAGATTCTTTGCGATTCATTGATCCGAGCATGTTTGATCACCATATCTTACAAACAAACTTAACTCTTCGGTATGAATATAAACTCATGACCCTTTATACTTATCATCAACATAATGACGGACGATAACACCCCATCCTCTTCGAGCGCGCCAAAACAAATTGGCAAGATTGGACGGTACCAAGGACCCTCCGGCTGGTTATCACTCAGTACAGAAAGCACAAGCCCTATGGCAACACATGGGCAAGGCACCCTGACCAAACTTATCAAGAATCAATCGAACGGATCGTTGGTAACCATGCGCCGGCAGTCTGGATCAATCTTAGGTCGAGACTCGTTGGATGATGAAGAGCGCCCGCGCAGTGTATTCGACGACCGCGATGATTTCAGTGAAAGACGTTTGAGTGCTGTGCTCAATGGGCCACAGATGCGCAGTCAACGCCTCATTGGCAATAGCAATCCTCGATACAAATGGGAGAGATATTGGAAAACTGAGGAAGAACTGAAAGGCATGAAGAAGCCGATGTACGTCACTCCAAGTGTTACTTAAACACAAACATCCAGCCTTATGCCTTATGACCAAAAACTGATAAGTCTCACAGACGCCAGTACTACGAACGAACCAATTCTCTCATTCAACAATATATTTACATTGATCGGTTACTCGATTCTTCAATTCCTCATGATCTCCTCAATGAATACGAACACAATGCATGCAGTGGACGATTTGAAGTGCCCACGACGATATCAGAAGAACCGCGTACACCCCCAGAATCAGAAACTCCCACCAGTAATGACAATGGCACTGGATCTGTCCCGAAGAGAATCAAGCGGACACCCCGAGAGATCTATAAGGTCACGGAGGAGACGCCTCTTCTTCTCTCCGAGGAAGACAGCGAATACGATGGACCAAAGCCCGAAATTCCCGGCATGGAGGACGACAGTGTGGAGAGTGGTGATAGGATTGTGCAGATTGCGATTTACATCAATCTAGTAGCCAATACAGTTCTTCTGGCTGGTAAAATCGCCGTCATTGTTTTGACGAGCTCTCTTTCGGTTCTTGCTAGTCTTGTTGATGCAGCATTGGATTTCCTCAGCACAGCCATCGTTTTTACCACTACCAAAATGATCGAACGTCAAGATCAATATTCGTATCCTGTTGGCCGTCGGCGCCTTGAGCCAATTGGTGTCCTTGTGTAAGAAAGTCCTCTTCTACCCATAGCTTTCGATTGCGCTCCAGTTGATATGGTTTCATTTCGATCAAATGCTAACTTAATGGCGATATAGCTTCAGTGTTATCATGGTTACATCTTTCATTCAGGTGGCATTAGAGTGTTTCAATCGACTCTCTTCAGATGATCGTGTGATCATCGAGCTCACCCTACCAGCCATTGTTATCATGTCTTCAACAGTCTTCATCAAGGCCCTTTGTTGGCTATGGTGTCGTCTTATCAAAAACTCTAGTGTCCAAGCACTTGCCCAAGATGCCATGACCGACGTTATCTTTAACATTTTCAGTATCATTTTCCCCCTCGGTAAGCCTATTCATATATCTTCACTACTCCTTAATAATCTAACAAGCATCTAGTCGGCTTCTACGCTAAACTATGGTGGCTCGACGCTCTCGGAGGTCTTCTCCTTTCCCTTTTCGTCATCATAAACTGGGCTGGTACATCCGCCGGTCACATACGTAATCTCACTGGTGCTGCTGCCACTGCCGACGAACGCAATGTTCTTCTCTACCTCACCATGCGTTTTGCACGTACCATCAAGCAAATCCAAGGTTTGCAAGCATATCACGCCGGCGATAAACTCAACGTCGAAGTCGACATTGTGCTAGATGAAAGTATGAGTCTCCGTGATAGTCACGATTTGGGTGAATCGCTACAGTATGTGTTGGAGTCGGTGCCCACGGTTGATAGAGCATTTGTTCATCAAGATTACGCGGGCTGGAATCTACCAACGCATATGCAGCAGCAGGGGCAATGAATGAATGAATAAATGAGTAAAGCATCATTGGGCGGTTGCTACTCTTTCGGCATTGTTCATGAGATGGCCGTGGATATAATGCGATAGACTTTTCTGATTCCTGGATGACATCAGGGAGTTTACCTGCGGCATAGCAACCTGTATTATAGATCATTCTTTTGTACAAATCATTCTCAATTCGATAAAGCAAATACAATATAATACAATAATCATCATCATCCCTATCCAAAATGAATTATATAAGTGTTGAACATTAAGTCCAGCTTGTAAATTCACTATGGAAACGATTCAAGCGAATGATTTCCAATCCCCCTTTTTGTATTTGATGGTATGTATGTATGTATGTATATAGATAGATAAGTAGGTATCTATATAGTCTCTATATTCTAATAATATAGGAGTAGCAATAGCAATAGCAGTAGAACCAGACCCAGACCCATATCCAGATCCAGATCCAGAATCAAATCCAGAATCATAGCATCTACCTACCTACCTACCTACCTATCTATCTACTCTTCAACATACACACATCCAAAAGTATGTGTATATGTATATACCTCCCTATACGTAGGAGAAAAAACAGGCCGCAATTGACCATTTAAATCTTCACTAGAGCCACTCAATTAAATGAATCAGAAAAACAATTAGAAACTAAAAATTTGAATTTGAAAAGACAAAATTAATTCTCACCTCTTAATTATTATAATAATTATTAATATATATATTTTATATCAAATTCGAAAAAAAAAAAAAAAAGAATTGGGTTATTTAAAGTATTCAGAAGTGGTCAATTGCGGCCTGTTTTTTCTCCTACGTATAGCCTCCCTCCGGTTAGGTATGTAAATATATATGGATTCCCAACATCATATTTCTGTATCTTAATCTTAATCTCAATCTCAATCTGAATCGAATCTGAATCTCAAGTGATGGGATGGGCGCTTGATGAAGGGAAAGGGGAAAGAGGTGAAAGAGGTGCAGATTCGCTTTGGGGAGGAGGCTGTGGTGGTGGTGGTTTGGTGTGACTTGGTTTGGTTTGGTTTAGTATGGTAAGGTATGGTATGGTATGATATAGTGTAGCATGGGGAAATTGGGTACCAATGAAAGGATGAGAGAGTGGGATCGACGTCATGGTATTTATCTATCTATCTATCTATCCATCCCATCTATTCATCGACTTGGTGGAGGACTTAGGGTTAGGGCTGAAGAAGACGACGGCGGAAGTGAACGAATGTGGTTTTGGGGACATCAAGGATATTCATTTAATGTTTAGCAGTGGGTGAGTTTTTATCTCGAATTCGACTCGTACCATAGGAGAGGGGATGATTAGATGATCCATGGATTTGATAATAGATGATGAAGATGGATCAAGTTGGATCATGGAATTGGGATGATGTGCACACATGTATGTGATGTTTGGAAGTAAAAGCAGGAATTTCTCAAGTTTCCTCAAACCCAAAAAATATCGAGTTGGCTTCGAAATATCGAGGATGGATTGCAGAGTACGTTTGGAGTTGAGAAGTTTCGATGTTGCGATGGAGTCAGTCTCCAATGTAAGTGGATCTTCGGCGGGTGAGTATCTACTTCGTAGGGATAGGGAATAATAATAGGTACAAGCAGGGTCCTGGAGAATTTTGATGGACACCACGATCGATACAGTGCAAGGAGAAGGGGCCGGCCAGTCGTCGTAAGGTTGAAGGGTAGTTTCTTCGAAATAGATTTATGGATGTTGATCCGATCCACAGCTGTCCATGTCATCCACAATAATCAATCGAGGACCATTGATCGGGCGAATGATGGCGATGTTGCAATAGTGCTGCAGGAAAAGTTAATACATGTGAAGGAGGAGATATATGAAAAGGAGATTGGAGGCTCCTGGATGGCTTTGGGTTCGGGTATCAAATTTGGGATAAAAGGGTTTTGTTTAGACGCTGGGGTTGGGGATGGTCGTCTAGGTAGCAGCAGCAAATGGTTAAAATGAAAAAAAACGGCAATGGGAGGTCTGAAATTTGAATGATCCTATTGTCGGAATCGTACGAATGTGATGTGAGATTTCGTTGGCTTATTTGCGCGTTTCCCGAAATTTTGGATGGGCATGTATGTACGGGTTGTGGTAGGGACTTCTTGTGGGTACTAGGTAGTTAAACATTATCCCACCCCATTCAAATATTGTTTGAGGCTGTGCCGATCAATTCACGTGTTTTTGATATTGGAATGGAGGAATTAATGTTTGGTTGGTGTTGGGTGAAGGTCTGGTGGGTTGAAGGTTCCAAAATAAAAAGTCAGAAAGTGTATCAACTCGTATTACAGCCATCGCATGGTCCAAAATTAGTGGAATGCGGAAAAGACGTCATGTCGAAAGGGATTCGAGAAGATTTCGGGTCCGGTGAAGATTCGTATTTGTGGGTTCCGATTTGATGGATTTTCAGAAATGCGAGGTGGTGGAGTTCGAGCCCCTTAAAAATATGTACAGAGCACCTAGGTACAGTATGCATTCTAGAGTCTTGTGGATAGCGAAATGTTATTTTTAAGTTTGAGGTCTGAGATTGGAGATTTGAGAGATGTTAGAGATGTTAAAGATATTAATGTCTAGTAGGTAGTTCGAGGTAGAGTTGTTAAATTAATCTGGCTTGGGAGAAGAGTGAGGGTTTGACGAAGAAGTGAAGGAGGAGTGAGGTGAGTGAGGTGAGTGAGGTGAGTGAGGTGAATGCATACTGAATAGCTGGAGTAGCCCTGGAGGTAATAAAACGAGGAGATTGGATGGGTGGCTGAATGTTTCCTGGCGGCACGGCATTGATCATAAAGAATTCAAGGTTCTGTACTCGATTATTGGAAATGGGATTGAGATTGAGATTGAGATTAGGATTGGGATTGGTGAAGAATTCTCTTGGGGCAACAGCCGAAAGGAACCAGGGGTCAGAGATCTTTGGGAAAAGCGTCATGCACGAGGATGGAAAAGGAGTAGACGTTCTGTTTCCCTTGACCTATCGAGTCCAGCATACTCTACACATGCTCAAGGATGGAGAAATGGTGCATTTTTTTTTGTTTATCATTGGTGTCACAGTAGCGAACAAAAGAAGAATGATACATGAGGGTATACATAATGATGGATGTAGAGAAGAGAAGAAAAGGGAAGAGGGGAAGATGTGATGTGGGATACTCGATGGGGTTGAAAACATTCATGTGATGTGATTGATAGAGGAATGGGTTGGAGGGATGAAGGTGGCTGTAGATGGTAGATATAGATGGTATATAGATGGTAGATGGTAGATAGTAGATTGGTAGATGGTAGATTGGTAGATGGTAGATGGTAGATAGTAGATAGTAGATGTTAGAATGATTGTACATATCTTCAAATGTGCATGTGCTCGGATTACCTTATATATACACTAGGGAGTCAATGACAGAAGACCTTAAGATAAAGACGATGAAGATGATGAAGGTAATGATAAAAGTTTCTTTTTTGTTAAGAATATCCATCCAACCTTGGTGATGGCATTGATGTCAAAGTACAAAGTCATACTTTAATCCTACCCGATCAAGTAATAAAATGATTAGGTCGTTTTCTCGTGCCTGAACTAACAATTAATGACAACCCAGCGTTTACCTGACTCCATCACTCTAGGCATAATGAGGAGTAGTGGTAGGGGATACTTTTAAAGATATATCACGAAACATATAACCTCCAGCAATCAACAGGATTGATTGATCTGTTCCTGCACTTACCTAGTATTTACCTAGTGTGTGAGAACAACCTCCTCCTTATTATACTTCGACCTCAGGACCGATACTTAGACCCAAACAGTCGAGCAGTCCATCAATCAAGTAATCACACCCTCTGTGCACATCCCAAGACGTGAGAATGAGAGGAAAGATGAGATGCGATGCGATGCGATGCGTTACGGTAACCTGGAAGGGGAATACTATGATCATTTATAGCTCAGGAGATATCAGGAGATCAGGTACAGAATAGCTACCGGTACCTAGCGACAGTATTTTCCGTCGCTAGGGAGTCGGGACCCAGCCCTCCGTGCAAAATATTAATAAACTTAGGTTCCTTGGGTCCCACGGTCCCTAGTGAAAAGAGGGAGAAGAGGGAGGAGAGACAGAAAAGAAAGAAAAGAAAGAAGAGAAAGAAGAGAAAAAAAGTTCTTATTCTTTAGTGGTAGTATTAGTGGTAGTATTAGTAGTAGCATTAATAGCAGTATTATTAGTAGTAGTATGTATTAATCCCCAGCATCTCAGCATCTCAACATCTCCTTTGGTAGCAAAGCAAAGCAAAGCAAAGTAAAGCAAAGTAAAGCAAAGCAAAGCACAACCATCACCCAATCATTCATCCATTCACCCAAGCAACCCATGAATTTCTCATCTCTCCAAACATTCCACCTACATAGCACTCGTCGATTACCTACAGCCTAGTAGATACCTACCTAGTAGAGACCTAGTACCTGTTCTCTCTAACCTTACTATTAACATTCATTCATTCACAACCATCTCCATGATCCAACTTCCCATTCATCAATAACAAGAAAGGAAGAAGAAGAGAATTCTCTTAGCACCACCTCCTACCTTGTCTGCCTACTTCCTACCTACTACTTACCACTTACCACTTACCACTTACCACTTACCTACCTACTTTATTCTCACTAAACTCACTCACTCATCCACTCATCCACTCATCCACTCATCCACTCATCCACTCATCCACTCTCTCTCATCCACTCTCTCTCTACCATTTCAAAACATCACATCACATCATCATATCATATCATCCATATTGAATTCTTCAATAATCGATTGCCCTTTTGCATCTTGCTAATAATTTAAAGACATTGCATTTTGTCTAATCAAGTCCATCGCTCTCTTTCCATCAATCACTATTGAATTTTCTGTTTCATCTTCAATCTTTTTTTGCTTTCTTTTTCCTCTTCTCTGGTCTATCGTTCGTTGTAGTTTGGCTCTCATTCTCTCGTTATTGTAGTAAGTAAACATCACTTTGGTTTCAATTTCTATTTCTATATTTATTAAATTGCGCCTATAAACATCAACAATCCCCAAAAATTTCAGCTCTACTACATACCACATACCTTTTACCCCCCCCCCAAAACACAATACAATACGTCAACTGCAGAAAAAATCCATTTGGCAGCCAGAAGAAAATATGTTTATCTAGGACAAGGTTCATTCACTACCTTTGGTCCATAACCAATCTTTGCCTGGCCGTGGCTTGAAAAGACTTGCTCAGCATCTTTCCATCACCAACCTTCTCACCCATCCTTGCCTTCCGAGGATATACTCGGCGAATAACACCACATTGGCTTGCTTCCATTCCAACCTACACTACACCGGTCTCTCTCTCCAACAGCATGGACCTTTGATGAATCTGTCGATCTATCGAAATACTGGAGACTTGCATTTTCATCTGTTCTAAAAGGATCTTGCTAACCTCGCCTGTGGCCATTGCAACAGACCCGTTTCCTCACATTTTCTCGCACACGTCTTTGCCAACGAAAACTTGCGTATTCAGCTCAATGTTCATGACTTATCTTCTTCAACATTGATTCGTGAATTTTTCCTTCCAACACTTCAATCCTTTGCAGATCAAACATACCAACGGCATCGAGCCTAGTATCCCCTATTTGGATACCTTTTTCCACTCATTACTACTGAGAAGCTCGAGACCGGCAATCTCGTCTTCCAAGCAATAAATACAAACTATATGCCTTTAATTCCAAAGAGTTTTGGGCGACGCAAGTCGACAGCAAATGCATTGGATATTCCCGAACCTCCCGTCGAATCGTCCTTTAAGGTTTTCGAGCGTCCTCAAGCTGGGGGTCATAAGTCCGGTCCATCTTTCGACGGTGGAGTAAAATTTGCTCGAGCAAGCGGTACAGCTGATTCGCACAAGGAGGACAATCTTTTCGAGGGCATGAAAGTTAATACTGTCAATCGGTTAGTACTGAATTTCCACCTGGGTGGGAGGTTCAGGGGACCTACAACTAGGGTACACCCTTGGCATAATAAGCTGATAAATTTCCAGTGGTAGTGGAGCGTCAAATACGAACACCGCATCGACCACAGATAATTCTTCAAGGTTAAGTGCAGCCTCTACTGCCCCTTCATCGATGGAGACACCTGGCCACGAAGACTGGAGAACACCACACGATAGACATAGCGACGTTCCCCTTCCGCCGCTACCAAAGACATCGTCTGGATTTTCGCTGAAGAACGCTGGAAGAACACTCTCTTGGGGTAGAAACAAAGCCACTCCTTCTCCATCAAAAGTATCAGACGAACTACCACCTTCCCCAACTATTCGCGACGATAGCGCCTCGAGTCGAACGCGCGCGGTAACTGCATCCAGCTACGCAAGCACGGCTACACCACCAAAACTCGGGGAGAGAGATTTAGATCTGACAATGGGTGACGATTTTGGAGATATGTTTGCTGGAATGGCGCACCGAAGGAGTGCTCCTCTAGATTCGCCTGGCGTCAGAGGATTTACTAAGAGCCCTGTAAGTCGAGTCGCTACTTTCAACGTTGATTCACTAACATGAAGCAGGAAATACTCCCACCCGAGAAGTCGTACTCTGCTAATCGTGCTAACCAACCTTCCCCCCTTATACTTGACAAACGCAAGACCATCGAAGACCCACCATATTCTTGGGGATCAAATGATGGACTCATGAAAAATACTAGTCCACCTCCCGTGGTCACTCGTAATATGGGTCCTCCTGCTCACCAACCTCCTCCGGTTCCAAGACATGGTCCTTTGCATCAAACTGATGCAAATCAAGCCATCCCAAGACCACGTTCAAGTGCGCCTCGCCCCGACTCGACACTTAAGAGAAGCAGTGCTCTTTCCATGCGCCGCCACTCCACATTGGAATTTGATGGCGTCGACGAGGACGCTGCACTCCTGCGCGAGTCTGTCAATGCGAGCAGACATTTCGGTGAAGCACCAAGTAATCCTCAAGCTCGAAAAAGCTGGGCACTCCCTTCTCAAGCAGCATATAACGCCAAGGCGACTGCAAAGACACAGCTCCTCGAGCCAGAGGAAGATGAAGATCTTTTTGAATCCGCCGATTTAGCTCAGCAATTCCAGGAGAGGTCAGAATCGCCCCCTCCTTCGAGGCAAGCTCCAGTAAACAAGGTTATGACACCGGCCCAATTCGAGCGATACAGACAAGATCAAGAGCGTTTGAGAAGCGTTGGGGGGCGCCCGAAAGATGAAGAAGCTGAGGAGGAAGAGGAAGAGACTTACGATGACGATGAGGATGAAGCAGAGAAGAGCAAGAACGCTGCCAAGCAACGACGAAAGCAGGAGGCTCACATGTCAGTATACAGACAACAAATGATGAAAGTCACCGGAGACTCGACACCTTCGCCAGGCCCATCCCGACCTTCAATGTTTAGCAGCCAAAGTACTCCCAACTTGGTACTCGACGGTGCGACAGAGGATGGAGAGGAGGAAGATGAAGAAGTTCCTTTGGCCATTCTTGCTGCTCATGGATTTCCAAATAAGAACAAGCCACCTACAACCAGACTAACTAGCATGGGATCAAATCCTAATCTTAGAGGTGCTGCTCAAGGTGTTCCAGGTATCGGGGGACCCTTGCCTGTGTTTGCTCGCAACTTACCTCAAGACCCCTATGTTGGTGCAGGTCTCGTTTATCCAGCAAATAGAGAGTCGCTGGCATTCGGGAATGGTGGCCCAGGTTCTATCAACGGCACTCCAAACAGAGGCGCTCCTCCAGGAGGTCTCGTAGGTGTCATTGCCACGGAAGAACGCTCCCGAGCGGCGCGAAGAGGAAGCCCAAACCCTGGATATGGCCAGATGCCTCCTGGCGGCTTCACTGGTATGGCACCTCCACCAATCATGGGACAGATACCCATGGGAGCGGGTGCATTGGGTATGGGCCAGATGGGACCTATGGGCGGAATGCCTCAGCCAATGCTCACTCCTGGTGACCAAGCTCAGATCCGGATGACGGAACAAATGCAATCATTTATGCAGATGCAGATGCAATTTATGCAAATGATGGCAACAAACCAAGGTGGACAAGGTACCCCACCCCCCAGTGGCGCGCCACAGCTTGGTCCACTGGGTCAATTGGGACCAATGGGTCACATGTCTCAGCCAAACTTTGGTGAGATGCAACGACCCTCAAGTCAGCAATTGCCTACTAGCAACTCGGCCCAAAATCTGCGACCCGGAAGCGCACAACGTACCATGAGTATGCTTGAACCTGGTGGCATGCCTTGGTTGCAGCAACAAAATGGTCAAGGATTCGTACCATCGGCACACGCTCAAGGCAACGGTTATGCTCCATCAATAGCGCCATCCGAACGAAGCAATGTTGGATTGCCTGGCCGATATAGACCAGTCTCACAGGTTCCTCTTACCGATGCCAAATCAAGAACCGCGACCATGTCTGGAGCAATCGGTGGTTGGGACAGCAAGCATGCCTCGACAATCAAGACTGTTCAGAGAGTAGATAATGATGATGAAGATGATGAGGAAGGGTGGGCGGAAATGAAAAAGAAACGAGAGCAGAAGAAGTCTATTTGGAAATCAAAAAAGGATACTAGCGGTCTCTCGGAAATGCTTGGTTACACGCAATAATAATCTCATGGGTGGATAACTCGCTATTAGATGCTTCTGCATGTGCATTTGAAGGGGATAGCTTTGTGATATATAGCATGAAAACTTTGGCGTTGTAAGACTTGGGGCATTGAACTGGAAATCATACCTATGGCATGACTGCTTGTATAGTAGTAATATAATTTTCTTCAGATCTGGGCGGATTTCTTTTTTGATCTTTCTTTTTGTTTTAATGATCGAACACATACCGCCGCCAATTAATCAACGACTTTTTCTTACCATTCTTTTTTCAGTGCAAACATATGCAATCCATGGTGAATCAAATCTAGAAGCAAAACATCACATCAAATGCTCCAATCGTCCAATCGTCCAAGAATCCACACTCCTTCTTTCCTTCATCACTCAATCCAAAATATGAATAGCATCACATTCCCCATCATGCAATTTTTCCGGCAGCCCACTCCCTCTTCTTGACACCCAATTCTACAGCGGCGGCAGCCCAATCCTCTCCATGATTGTGGCCCTTCCCCTTCTCAGTCGTACCCACGCCCGCTCTCATGAGCGCTTGATCCTCCGTAAGCACCGTCAAGAGTCCGAAAATAAGAGGAACACCGGCGTCCAATTGGATGCGCATAAGACCTTGCGAGACGCTCTCGGCTATGTATTCAAAATGCATGGTTTCGCCTTTGATGAGACAGCCGATGGCGATGATGGCATCGAAGGGGGCGGTGGAGGCGGCGGTTTGTGATTGCGTGGGGAGGGAGGTGAGGTCGGTGGTGGAGGAGCCGAGGAGATCGCCGGCGGAGAGGGAGGAGCTTTGCGTGGATTGGATTTGAGAGGCTGAGTAGAGTCTGGGGAGGGGAGGAAGGAGGAGTGGTTAGTTAGTTTGTTTGTTTGGGTTTAGGGGAAAGGGAGGGAGGGATTCATGGTTTGTGGTTCATGGGAGATGAGAGATGCGAGTCAAGGGGTGGATGGATGGATGTATGTATGTATGTATGTATGTACGAATGGATGAATAAATGAATAGCAATGAAATAAAAAAGGATCACGTACTTGGAACACGCAATGGGCAATTCCCAACTCCCGGGCACGGATTGGACGACAATGTTCGCTTCCTTGACGCCGCTGGCCAAGAGCGTCTTTTTTGTACCGGCGAGCAGCGGCTCGATTATGGCTGCGTGCGGCGTGGTTAGTGAGTGGTAGGGGACAGTACGGTACAGTACGAGCTGGGCTTGAAGGGGGAGAGGAAGATGGGAATCCTGGGCGGGTGGAAGGTACTCACAGGTATTCCAGCGCGCGTGGACGATTCCGATGCGGAGGGCGCTGCCGTCGTGTTTTTGGGCTTGGCCGGGTCCTTTGAGGGAGGTGTCCATTTTTGTGTTTGGGGTTGAGGGTGCGTGGATGGGTTGGTTGAGGATTGCGTTATTTGTTTGATTGATTGTTTGATTGTGTGTGTGGATGAATGATATTTAGTTGTGGTCTGGAGAAGTCGGAGGGGTTTTTGGTGGGGTGGTTTGAGGGTGGGAGGGAGGTAGGTAGGTGCATTGATCAATTGATTAGGCAGTTGGAGCTCAAGGTTGAGCTTAACAGTAGTACTACGATCTCTATATATCTAATAATAATATCAGTTTAATTGTATATAGGTAGGTATGTATTGTTTTCAATATTGGATTACAAATAAAGTATTTTTTGTTTTGATATAAAATTTTCCACAAAATTACACATTAAAACTATTAAAATCTATTTGATTATTAAAATGATATTAAATATTATTATGGTTGTTGTATAGTATCATTATAATGCTAGCATTTTCAATTATTCATTCAATCTGATTACTAGTCCAGCCCTAAATTGCTATAGACTCCACCAAGTAGTCCCCCAAACTCTCATATTTCATTTCCCCACCTCACAGTTTTTATTTCATTTTACACCCCTCGTCACAGGCAGACCCACACACGTTTTCTACGAAGTTCAGTACCATATATAGTTTATGAGCAACCATATCAACAAAACTTAACTTCAACACATCAACCTCCTTACCAGTTAATTCCATCTCGAAGCAAAAATGCCACCTCCTCCAACCAAAGCCATAGTTCTCATCTCTGGAAATGGCAGCAATCTGCAAGCACTCATTGATGCTTCGCAAGGAACCAATGACTCGGAAATCACCCTGCCGTATTTGAAGATAATTCGAGTTATCACAAATAGAAAGGCGGCGTATGGAGTTACTCGTGCAGCAGCGGCGGGCATCCCAACAACATGTCACAATTTGTTGACGGGAAAATACCACAAAAAAGATGAGAAGGACCCCGCAGTGATAAAAGCCGCACGAGAAAAGTATGATGCGGACCTTGCGGATCTCGTGATTTCAGAACAACCTGATATCGTAAGTGACCACTTTCATTACTATTCCCCTTATTCTTTCAATATCCAGACCTTCTTTAGTCTGCAAATCACTTTTCAAATCTCCAATAGTGTAACAATTCTAACAATCACTAGATTATCTGTGCTGGCTGGATGCATATTCTCGCACCAACATTCATTGACCCCCTGACTGCCAAAAAGATACCAATCATAAATCTTCACCCAGCACTTCCAGGCAAATATGATGGAGCTAATGCTATTGGACGGGCTTTCAATGATTTCGAACAGGGCAAGTTGGAGAACAACAAGACGGGCCTCATGATTCATTATGTGATCAGTGAAGTTGATCGTGGAACACCAATCGTGGTCAAAGAAGTGGAGTGCAAAAGTTCTGAATCTTTAGAGGAACTCGAGGCGAGAATGCACGCAGAGGAGCACAAACTTATTGTTGAGGGAACAGCGATGGCGATAAAAGAGCTCTGGGCTCAGAGGAGTAATGTAAATGCTTGAATTGTTATTTATAAGAATAGCAATCATTAACGAACCCCCTGTCCCCCTTTCGCATATCGCTTCATGCTGCCATCCAGCAAGCAAAACCATCCACGCTTAAAACCATTCAATTTCTCAAACCCAAACAAAGTGTTAGGTGATGCTGGGAAACACTTTCATCAGAATCTGTCATCGCCGTTGGAGAATTTGATGTCGTCATGCAGGAAATATGTCTTGAACAAATTGGTCCTTGGAGTTTTTCGATCAATATTGACTCCCCGTCTACGATCATTGTTGTCATTCTGTTTATTGTGGAAGAACATCAGGTATTGATCTCCGCTGATCTTTGACCCAACGCATGTACATGCTCACATCCTTTTGAATCTGGCCTGGTATACTGGGCTTCTGTATCAATTGAGGTATCCAGCCTTTGGCATCTGACTATAAGGTTACATCAGTTAGCAAACATACAGCACAAATATTTATAGAGGATTCCTACAGCAGTAGCCATTATCCATTCTATCTCCCCAGCTGCACCACTAGGATTAGGACGAAGACAACATCGTTCAATCGATGCGTAGGCCCCCACAACTTGACCTTTCTTTTTGGCGGAGGCGAAACCGGATTCTTGAAAGCTGGGAGTTTGTGACTGGACATTGGCTGAATCGGTTATGGGTATTGAGATAACCAAAAATTCATTCTGCACAGGTTCGTTAAGTGATGCAGTAATCAGTACCTCAGGAAACTTTCGCTCAGAAACAACCGGGGGCTTATGAATCATCTCTACAACTTCCAATGAGATGTTGTTCCATTGCTTTTCACCAGCCACGATCTCAAAATCGCTCGTTTCCCAGTACATAGCTCTCCTACTACTGGCGAGCACAGAATGACACCAATCCTTCTCTCTCTCAAAGTGTTCTTGCTTGATATGGAGAGTAAATTCGTCCCAAGAAGCTGTGTTTGCTTCTGCTTTATTCTCATGGATACTTCTTCTGGCAAACCAAGTCTCCCCTTCCTCATTTGCTTTCTTTGTTGCTTCATCGTGTGTCCCGTTGCAATAATCTAGTTCTTCCTTGGAGACGACGCGCTTATACAACTGAACGCCCGTCTTGGACTTGAGAAATGACCAGGGTGGTTCATTCTGGACCATTCCGTTGAGAAATGGGATTGCTTCTTCGAGTACTGCCGCGATAAATGTCTTCGCATTCCTAGTAGGATGATCACTACCGTTCAATGGTCGTATAGCTCCACTAGCTGCTACAATGCCTATACCTGCCTCGGGTAACTGGGAATAAGAGATTCCATTCAGTCGTATCCAAGGTCCCAGTCTGGAAGAAGCACGAGTGGGCTGGGATGCAGGAGTAGGAGTGGTAGACGACGCCATTGTGTCAACGTAAATTAGAAATAAGACTCCGAGAAACTCTGCTCTCAATTAAGATTACCACCAATTAACGAATGGAATCGAGCAAGTGTATGTTCCAGTGTATGTAATAGGTATATCTACAGCTTTCATATCGGAACAACTCCTTCCTTCACGGAAAGTACCATCCTACCGTTGTGCCCCTTCTGGAATTGGGTAGGTCTGAAACGGCCCTGGCGAGCCTGAGTGGCGGGAGGTCGAAATGGTCCAAGCTCCCTCCCTCCCTGATACGGCTATTCGCAGGAGAAAAAAGAGGCGGAATTTGACAATTGAATTCCCTATTAAAATCTTGAAACTTAATTGAATCAAAAATCAATCACAAATGATATATACATAAATTTAAAAAGATCAGAAGAAATATTAGCTTTTTATTATTTAGAAGATATCTCGGAGTTTTATTTTATGTAATATTAGAAGGAAGCGATTGGATTTTCAAAAATATTGTAGAAGTGGTCGAATTCCGCCTGTTTTTTCTCCTGCGAATAGACTAGTAAATATAAGTATAATAAGTATAGACAAGGTTCTGCTTAGATTTAAGATTATCCGGTTCCAAGACTTTCCAATAACCGATATCCCTACATCTTGCACAACCCTGCATCTTGCACACTTTTATTTCTTTTGAAAATAATATTCTAAAAATGATATATAATCAACCAATCATTAAATTCTATTGAAAATTAAAATAATAATATTATAATATTATTTCTTATATATAAAATAATAAAATCATAATTATAATTAATAATTGAATAGGAATCTTGATATTAAAACTATTAATATGAAATTATTATATATTAATTTATTTAATAATAAAAATAATAAAAATTTGTTTTTAGAATATATTCTATAAATTTGAAGATCTTTTAATATAATGAATTAAAAAAAGCTAATTTTTATATTAACAATTCGAAATTATATTAATATATAATAAGAATTTTAATAAATAATTTGTTTTAAAACAAAAATCTTTTATAACTCAAGTATTAATAATATTCTTAATATAATTTAATTATATAATATACTATTTATATATTAATATTGAGAATTAAATAATAAAAACCATATTTTATTATATACTTATATATATAATCATTTATTTTAAAAAATATTAATATTTAAAAATTAAAATTATATAATTAATAATAGAGGTTTTTTATTCAAATATTTTGTAAAAGAAAATCTCGAATTAAATTTAAGTTTAAAATTAATAACTAGTATTAAATATTATAAAATGAATTTGAAATTAAATATAAACTATAAAATTTTTAGAAATATATAAAATTTAAAGACTTTTTTTAGAAATAAAATTCTTTTAGAAAAGGAACTATAATATTTTTGATTGAAAAAAATATATATAATAGACTTTTCGGTTGAAATATAGGAATCAATTATTTTAATTATTATTTTTTCTTATTTATATTACTCTATAATATAATTAATTATAATTTCTAAATAATATTTTATTTTAATATTATTTATTATTATTATATTATATATTTTCTAATATATAAAAATATATTTTTATAAATTGAATCAAAATATCAATTTATTTTTTTAAAATCTCAAAATAAATATTCCATAATATTTTAAAAAGTATTTTTAAATTATTTTTCTTTTTTTTTAAAACTATATAAAAATTTAAAACTTGATATAAAACTTGATTATTAATATTTTTCGAAATTTCAAACTTTTGATTAATAATAATGATAATAAAAAATATAAAAAATCATTTTTCAATTATATAATTCACTCTAATATAGGTTTTTATTTTGTTATTAATATTTTAAAATATTGTTATTCAAAATCAATTAATATTTAATTGAATATTTCAAATCTTTTAAGTTCCTGATATTATTTTTTGATAAATATAAGATCCTATTATACAAGTTTTAAAATCATTATAATGATATTTGAATTTAATATCGATTTTTAGTTTAATAAATCAAATTGTGCAAGATACAGGGTTGTGCAAGATGTAGGGATATCGGTTATGGCTGATGGTAAATGGACTTGATGTCTCTCTCACACACTTTCTACCTAGGAATTCTTGCTATTGCCCACAGAACTCCTTGACACCTGCGAGAGAAAAATCGACAAGTTCAAATCGATGGTGGGGTCGGGGTTGCCAAGGAATATATTTTGCTAACTCATTATCAGGTTATGTAAGTGCGAAATGAGGCTAGAACTAAGAGATAGCTTGGGATTCAGCCTTATTGAGCGAGAAGGCTGTACTTTAATTTCTCTCCAACAAATAATCCTTAATGCAAACCACTATATAAGTTAGAGCCTCGATTCTCAATTCGATTCCAATTCCTAATAACGAATTTCGCCATAATGGCTATCGACGAGATAATTACAGAACCATCTCTCAAGCTTGCACTTGAAACTTCGAATCAGACGCGGGAACAAGCAATTGCTCTTCTTGACTTCGTATCGGCTGCATCTACAACCTCCACTCCGTCGAACGAAGTTCTACTACAGATCTCTAAACAACAAAAACTGCTTCTTACATATCTCGCACAATTGAGAGGTCTACATCGTGATTCTCATGCCGGCGCACGAGAAACAAAAGCTTTAACCGCGGAAGCGCGTCAAGAAGTAGATAGGCTACATTTACAACTTCAAAATCTGTACTATGAACAACGGCATTTACAAGGGGAAATTGCTGCTTGCGAATCATATGAGTGAGTTTCCAGCCAATTTCACAAGTATGAAACTAGGCAGTGTCGCTAATGCTATCTTCTACAGCCACAAATATCAGCAACTTCCCTTGATACCAGTCGACGAATTCTTAGCACAACATCCTGAACACGCTGACGCTGATGAGAATGCGCTTATGATTGCAAGAATAGATCATGAACATCAGGAGAGATTGAAGTTGGAGGAACAGAGACAAGGACTTTTGAAGAAGAAACAAGGCTTGATTGCCGATAATAAGAAGAGGAAGGATGACCTGGCCAATCTTGACAAAGATTTGGAGAAGTTTATCGATGTGAGTTTAGACCTTGTTGCGGCCATATTCTGAGTATTGAAATCCTCATGCTGATTGATAATAGGCTGCGAAACCGATACAGAAAACTTTTGAGCGTGTGGTATGAGAAGGTGGATGATTGGCAGATTAACATTGTACCTGCTTATGGTAGAACATTCCCTCCTTCGCGGAATTAGAGACGGTCATTGAGATGTCGTTGCAAGCTATGCTCCCGGTTTGGTAACAAGAATGGTGCCATCAACTCAAGAAGTGTAAATCGAGTGAGGCTTTGCAGCTTTGCAGAGATTGTGGATAGTGGAGTGCGATGTTAGGGTTGAGGGTACCTGTTATTGGACTCGGGTTAAACACGTAATCTAAATTTACGATGTAATATAAACATCGACAACTAATTTGGAACCTGACTAACATGCTTCTTGGGACTTTCTGGTACATAGGAGTGACATTTCAATTTTTAAATCGTTATTTATTCATAGCCCAAGCTTTCCTGATCTCAGCTCAACTTGGCAATCAGCACCGATTGGACGCTGAGCTTTTCAAATGCTGACATTCGCATTTTGGTCTTGATTTTCGAGCCACGCATCTTACCATGCTCTACAGTGAAGGAGACAAGATGATGCCAACCTTGATAATGTACCTGGAGAGATCCCCTCCGGTGCAACCCGTGGACTGTGAGAACAAACGCAAGCTATTAGAAAGCCATGTTATATAACAGGAAGTCCGATATTGACATAAAGGCCACAAATTTTCTGAAATTAGCGGTGGCGGACAAGGAACTTTTCCCGAGAGGTCTGAATATTAACAGGCAAAAAGCTGACAGCAAACAGCCATGAAGTCTTGGCTGGCTGTTCAGAGAGCAAAAACTCATCTGGGCGCAGTTTTCATGGAAATATTGTTGGTCCGTCGAATTAGCGATTGTAGGACGATGACTCTGCTTACCTACTTTACCATGTTTGCCATTTCCACTACCTGGATTTCTCTTTCTCTTTCTGTTTCCGTATCCGTTGGTGTCTTGGTTTGATATTTCTTCCGGAATACACAGCAGAGCGTCCGATATGATTGTATGAAACATGTTGAAAATTTTCATTGCATGGTTTGCGCTACTCATTCTGGGTGGGGATAAGGTTACGGCGCAGTCGAGCACTACGTCGCGTGCAGTGCCGACGCATGTGGTTTCGGTTGGCATAGAAGGATTGCAGTTTACGCCGACGGAATTGAGTGCGAATGTTAGCGATGTGATAGGTATGCGTTTTGCGAACGGTGTCTTCATGTTGAGTTTGGTATGGAGGATAGAATAGTGCGTTATGCTAATCGATGAGTGAATTGTTAGAATTTCGATTTTATCCTCAAAATCACTCGGTTGCGAGAGCAGAATATGGAAGCAATAGAGCGTGTATTCCATATGAAGTTACGGGCATCAACAAGCGGGGGTTTTGGAGTGGTTTCCATCCGATCAATGTGGTTTTAAATGATGTTTGTACATTCATGGAGAATATTTGGGAATGCCATTGCATGGTCTAACTTGAGAGTATTTAGCCTCCCGAATTCCAAGTCGTTGTCAATGATACCAACCCGATCTTCTTTTATTGTTCAGCTCCAGGAGCGTGCCATGAGGATGGAATGATTGGTGTCATTAATGCTGTACGTTCAACAATTCCATGTCACTGGGCAGAATTTGGTTCCGAATACTCACAATTCTTGATGTCAGAACTCAACTCAAACATTCACAAATCAATTGGAATATGCAAAAAACTCCTCGTTACAATTTAGTCCTGGCGAAAACTTCCCCGTCGAAGCAACTTCATCCTCATCTTCGAGTGCTCGTCCGACATCTACCTCGTCCTCAGGCGACTCACCCAGTACCACCACCTCCGCTTCCACAATAATTGTTACAGACTCTTCTCACTCTTCTTCCTCTTCCTCTAAGCTATCTCCAGGCGCTATAGCAGGAATAGCCATCGGCGCATCCGCGCTTGTCCTACTAGCCAGCGCTCTCCTCTACCTCTGCGGCCGCCAACGCACCATTAAAGAAATAATCCATCACAACTCCCGTCCCTCAGACATGACTTCCCATACTCATCCCAATCCGCATCACCCCGGTGGTCCCAACCCCCAATCCTATATCGCGCCCTCGGCAACTCTATCTGAAACAACATATTACAATAAACCTCGACATCTCATGACGGAAAATGAGATTCGCGGGCTGGGACAATTTTCCGGCGCCGGAAGCGAAAGTCACTCGCATCTTTCTGAGTCGAATATTGCCAGTGAGGGATATGGACGGAGTCGCAGTCGAAGTCCAGGGGCGGATGAATATGGCATGGTTATTCCGCCGTTGAATTTGGGAGGGACTGGGAGAGGAGCTGAGGGAAGAGCGAGTCCGAATTATCAACAAGGGAATGTGAATTCGGGGGGGAATGTGAGTTTACCGAATAGTCCTGGGATGACTGGATCCTTGGGTGTGCAAATGGGGATGGGAGAGAGGTGGGAACGGGAAAGGGAGAGCGAGAGATTGAGAGGACTGAGGTGCATTATTTCTGATTCCCCCCCTCATGATTTTTAAATATATTGACATCAATGTATCATCCACTAACTTCTTCAAGATCCTCTCCCTCCCCAGGAATCTCAAATGATTTCCACCTCCACACCTCCTCGTCAGGACCCCACGAATTAGCTACGCATCAGGATCGAGAGAGTTTGCGCGGACATGGCCATGATCGATACGATGATCCGGAAATGTGAATATTGAGTAATTTTTTCTTTCCCTTTGCCTGAACTATGGATGTTTACCAAACTTATTTGCTGTTTTCTTCTCTTTCTCCATGTACTTTGAAAGGTTTCTTCAGATTTTAAATCTTTGTTATGCTATGCAGGGTGAATGGTATAGATCTAGGAATTTATGGCATGGCATCGTATGGCACATAAACAAACAGAAGCTGATTTAACAGAGACAGGAGGTTGGCGAATCAAGAGGGCGGGGATACCTTCTTTTGGGATGAGGGAGAGTCGCGATGATGATTGCGAGGAGAGTTTCGTTTTCGAAAGGCGTTGGAGTTGGAAGTACAAGAGAATATCTGGATTCGACTGTGGGAGATGGTTAAGTTGAATAACAATGCAAAACTCTCTAGGGGAGATGAGATATGCAATAATAACACCGTATTAAGATCTTTGCAAGTTTCGAGTCAAGTGGTTGAAGAAATCATCTAAGTGACACTTCTGATCATCATATCTACGTCCTGGAAAACTACAGCGTAAGAAAAAGGGTATCTTCAATTCTTCTTGAATCATAATTTCATCTCCGAAAACAATAGCAACTCGAACGATGGAAGTCCTTCAAGCGATTGGTTTAACATCACTCAACCATGGCAACCCCAATTTCTTCATGTCGACCGCAATTTGGAAAAGGTAATCCAAGCTACATGGGATATCAGCATCATCTAAAAGTCACACAAAATAAATGATGAAACCAGCAACCTACCTCTCACACTGAGTCTTCGCCTTGTGCACTGACTCTCCCCAAACATAGACCCCATGTCTCCTTACCAAAACCGCGTACGTATCTGGATATTTCTCCATGGCTTCTTCCAGATACTCTGTCAAATCTTCTTCGTGGGGTGTGTTTTCAATAACTGGAATGCGCAACGTATCGTGATATCCCAAATTGCCTGTCTTCGTATAGCCTTTTCCAAATGCCTTGATTTGCTCGATATTGTTGATTTCGAACATTGTGGTGCTGGGTGCGGATTCCAGGAGTAGGGTGATGAGGACTGCCCATTTTGAATGCGTATGGATGCAACAACCTGCGTTTCGTTTGGTGAATGCAGCCATGAAAAGAGGGGTGCATTGGGAAGGCTTGAGATTGGGTGGTGAGCGGAGGTAGAAGCGCTGTTTGGGATCAAGTTGTTTGGTTATGTCGAGGACATAAATGTGTTCTGGTTTCATAAGTTCTTTCTGGACTCCAGATGGCGCAAGATATACAAGATCACTGGGGAGGTCAGTAATCATGGCTAGCGTGAGAGGGAAGATGGGCATACTCTTTGCGAATACTGGCGCCTCCTCCTGTACCTGTTACCCATCCTAGATGCCAAAATTTTGCGCAGAGTTCTGGAATTAGATTCGCGGGATGTTGAGAATCTTTTGAAATAATAAGATGATCATTATTCTCCGGCTCCTGAGTTTGGTTTTGGGTAGTCATGATTGCTGTACCGTATATTTGAAATCTACATGAATAGATATTCAATTGATAGCCTCAAAATCAAATCATGCTATGTAATTTGTTGGCTAGTGACATTTTGGTGGGGAAATACCTAGACAAGCTTGAGGTAAGCTTCCTCTTGGCTTTGCCCCTCTTTTCTCAATTTTTCTACTGTTGCATTGACTGACAAGTAGACCCTGCACTCAGCCTAGGATAGCTGTGGATACTCATCCCAGATAGGGTATCTGATAGAAAGAAATCGAATAGAGTCTCGGAACTAAGGAAGCAGAGGGATGGAATAAGGTAGTACCGATATTATAGCTGACGAAGAGGAGGTTGGGAATTGATTCAATATTGAGGAATGGACGGCATTGATGTTGAAGAGGAGATGAAGTGTGTTCTTTTGTGGCTACTAGATGTGTGTCATGTTAACATAGGTAGGTAGTAGGTAGGTCGAGCTAGATCATAGATAAGAGGATGGATGTAGACAGATTCGTGTGTCATGTAGTGTTGGTGTACACATTCATACCATCATCCACCAGATGGTGATAGATTATGACATGTGTACTATCAGTACTATCAGTACTATCAGTACCACCAGTACCACCAGTACTACATATCAGTACTTGTCAAATAAAATATCAGTGCTGGATGACTCGGTGGATGATTTGATACGTATTGTTCAACACAGCTTTGTCGAAGCTCTACAATGAAAAACAACAAGAGGGGTTGAACATTGACATATATCCAATCCACGAGCTCTTTCTCGATAAACTTGACTCAATCTCCATCGGTAGACAAATCAACATCTGTTGTCATCCGAACACGTATTATCAATTGATATCTTTTGGTTCATGTTCACAAAATCCCCGTCGAGAATTCACTGATCCATCGTCATATAAAATATTCCACTA